TTCAGAGAACAGTTCAGCTGGCCTTCAGCTACTCTACAACTACCCTCCATTCCCAGACAGTGTGAATGGAACATTGAAGTAGGTCCCCCAACTCTTGCTGAAGTTGAGAAGGCTATAGTTAATCTGAAACGAGGAAGGGCAGCTGGTCCAGATGGATTGGCTCCAGAGGTCTTTAAGGATGGTGGTCCAATTTTAGCGATTAGGTTGACTAATATTTTAGCTAGGATCTGGGAGTTAGACGTTATCCCATTTAACTGGTCACAATCACTTATCGTCCCAATGTATAAGAAAGGGTCAAAATCATCCTGTGACAACCACAGAGAGATTAGTTTAACTAATATAATATCTAAGATACTAGCTTCGATAATTATCAGACGCCTAACTAAGACTCGTGAACTGCAAACACGAGAGAACCAAGCTGGCTTTAGACCTGGTCGTGGCTGCACCGACCACATATTCACCATTCGTCAGATTCTAGAACACAGGCATACTTATCGGTGTCCGACAATGGTGGTCTTTCTCGACTTAAAAGCAGCATTTGACTCGGTAGACCGCGAGATTCTGTGGCAGTGCCTATCATTGAAAAACGTACCACAGAAGTACATAAACCTTGTGAAGGCTCTTTACTCGAACACTACTAGTCGAGTCAGAGCTTATGGCGAACTGTCATCTACTTTTGCAACCTCAAGTGGTGTCCGTCAAGGCTGTCCACTTTCCCCATTTTTGTTTAACTTCATCATAGATCTACTGATGGAAATAACTTTCTCGTCGACTGAGTTCTCGGGTATTGATCTCCATCAAGGAGGTCCACTTATCGACTTAGAATACGCAGATGACATAGTCCTGTTTGGTGAAGACGCTGACAAAATGCAGAGTGTTTTGGTAGCACTAAGCAACAATGCCAGAATGTTTGGAATGCGCTTCTCTCCCTCTAAATGCAAGTTGTTGCTTCAGGAGTGGTCTGCGTCAACACCTGAACTAAGGGTAGGGAGTAAAATTGGTCGAACGCGTTGACAACTTCACTTATCTTGGAAGTCTGATCAGCCCTAATGGGTTGGTGTCTGACGAAATCTCAGCACGGATTCGAAAAGCTCGCTTGGCTTTTGCCAACTTGCGTCACCTATGGCGAAGGCGAGATATACGTCTATCAATAAAAGGACGAGTATACTGCGCGGCAGTCCGTTCTGTTTTAATTTACGGCAGCGAACCATGGCCATTAAGAGTAGAAGACACTCGTAAGTTATTAGTATTTGACCACAGATGCCTTAGAAATATCGCTGGCATCTGCTGGGATCACTGGGTAAGTAATAGTGAGGTTAGACGCAGGGTATTTGGGAATGATGGTAAATCGGTTGATGAGGTTGTTAATCTTCATCGACTGAGATGTTTGGGCCACGTGTTACGTATGCCTGAATACCGATTACCACGACGTGCAATGCTATCCGGTATTGGAGATGGTTGGAAGAAAGTTAGGGGCGGCCAAACCAAAACGTGGCATCAGTGCTTGAAGATACTAACTTCTAGTCTGAGCCATGTTGGTAGATGCAGACTACTTGGTTGGGGTCCGCGTGACTTTCGTAACCAATGGTTGGAGACTCTTGGTGACATGGCTCAGAATCGATCACAATGGCGTCGGTGTATACACTCCCTGTCTTCCCTTAAACTAAGAGATTAAAATCGCTTCATATCTTTCTTTCTACGAACCAATTCTTTCTTCTTGTACTATATCTCTATAGGCAATCTTTCTCTTATATATTACCACCTTTGACCTAACCACTGCTATGAATCGGGTGTTCATCTTGTTGTGCTGATGCGGTATGGCAACCTGGACCGATGCACATATGTGCCTGGTCCTACGTTGTAGCTGACTGACTGACTGTTTTCTTGTTGTTTCGATCAGGATCTCAAATAGCATTGAAAGGTGTGGTTAATCTAGTTGTCTTTATAGATCGATGTATATTTGCAGGTTTAGGTTATCTGGTAATGTATGTACACGATTAGATTAGTCAATCTTCGTAAAAATCTTTATATTATCCATTTATATCGTTGTTTTAATGGTCATGGCGGTATACTAGTGTAATTATAGCTTTCTTTAATTGTAATTCTTGTGTCTACAATTTATAATGCTGACTTAATTGATCATTTGTTGAAACCAATATTTCCCCTATCAGTTATTTTCGAAACCAGTAAATTGATAAAATATATTTACAGCGTTTTGTGAAACGATCAAGGTTGTTAATCTTCATCGATTGAGGTAGTTGAGACATACATAACTTATCATCAGTCATCAACCACTTTGAGATATAATGTTCATTGGGGTAAATGAAAGTTGGAACAAAGCTAGGAGTGGCGATATCAAGACATGGCACCAGTTCATAAATTTGCTTACTCAACCTAAATCATGTTGGTAGATGTGAAATATCCGATTAAGGGTCGTCGTGTTAATCGCAATCAGGAGTTGAAGACATTGGGTGATATAGTTCCAAATCGGTTATAAAATCATGAACGGATCTACTCCTTGTTTTCTTCTAGATCTTAAGTTTCAATATCTTTTTCCATACACACCTTTCCATTCTACTTTTTACCACTGTATTCTCAATCTTTATTTTTTCTCATTATCATTACTTTTACATTATTTCAGTTTATTTAGTATTTATCTTTTAATTACATCTAGTCGTACTAATCTAGTATTACAACCTGGGCTAACAGATATCTATCTGGGTTTTTATCTCTAGTAAAAAAACGATTTGCACGGTAATTTAGAATCTAAGAAAAAAAAATTAAAACATTCATGCACATGTGCTATTGCAAACAATTCTTAGTTATATCACCCAAAATCTAACCATTAGTTACAATAATTACGATGACCTCAACAATATGGTAGCTTGTAACTACTTACTTATTTGTACTTGTTCATGTGAACTAACCTTTTTGTTGCAATTGTTTTTTTTTTTTAAATTTTAGTGGTTGTTTATTATTTGACGTCAGTTATCTTAATTGTTTCCAAATATATGGACCTGAGAATATGTTAATGAAATGTTTAAATAATGTATTTCAATTAGATTATCAAGTTGATTCTTGGCTTCCTGAATTGTCCAACATGAAAACTCCTTTATGGTCATGTGAACAAACTGGAATTTTATACGCAACTAATAAATATGTTAAAGATATTTCTCGTCCAGTACTTGGACCTGTTCGAATTCTATGGGGTTCATTAAATTCAGTAAGTTGATTGTTATTTTTTTAAATAGGTATTTATCATTTGACTGATTATGTTTATCTTCTATATTTTGCTTGATGATTGCAAAATTTCCTATTTGTTTAATTGTTTATTCATACTTTGTGGAGCAATTTGACGTACATATTCCAGATAATTGAATATTTTACAGTTTTGTGACTTCACAAACTGTCTCAACCAATTGATTACACATAATGGTTTATGGATTAGTTTCTAATCGACTTTTCTTGTTATTTTTAGCATTGATTAACTGATTTCAATGTTAAGTGATCAGTTATGTTCCAATGAATAGTCGTTTTGAATTTTTGAGGTTGTTGATAGATAATAATGACACATCGAAATCGATATCGCTCACCTTTAATATTACAAAATATTTATGCAACTATGACATTAGCTGGTTAACTTCCATATCGAAGTCTAAAATATCTGTCAAAAATTAAGTTTTAATGATTAATTCATTAGTCAGTGATAGGTTTGTAATTCTTATACTTTTCAATTCTTTATGTTATATAACGAATTTCATTAAAACCATGAACTGGTCGAAGTTAGGCAATCGTTGAAAACATGAAAGCACTGAACGGCCACTTCGTCCTTAAGTGCGCATACCTACAATCCCGCATCTGGGAATCGAACCCAGGAACCCTAGCTTTACTCTCAAACTCTTAACCTCTAGACCACTGAGCCGGGGCCCACTAGTGTACTAGTCTAATTCCAATCAGTTCTCGACAGTGTTCGTTGAGAAACTTCCTCATACTTGACACAGTTTAGTATATTCAATGAAGTTCAGCAATCCTCACCACCATATACTGACGGTTTAACCACTTTTATTTTTATATCCAGCTTTCTGTATATAGCTGCGTTATTTTAATGAAGCAAAACATATTCCTCTGCGTTCTTGTTTTAACTTTGATTCATAATTGATTCGGCGCTTTCAGTTAATAAGTGGGTCTCTTTAACAGTTACCATATTGTTCTGTAGCAAATTATCAATCGATTGACATTGGGCACATTTTTAGAATCTTTGGTCTATAAAGCCAGCTATCTTGGTATATTTTTTTTGTACTTAGTCTTTTCACTAAATCTCTGTGATATTTGCTGACCAACTTTTATTTCTCACCTATCGAAACCAATTTCTATAACCACTGTTCAATATTTGACCAGTTGGATCTTCCTTTCGAGTTTCATATATTGATTGTAATTGGATTTTTGGAACAATTGCATGATTGTTATTATCATTGTTAGGAGTTTGCGGATATTTCTGAATTTTCAAAGTTTAAATCACAAACCAATCTTTACTAGATTAGCATTTAGAACATAGAACCACTGGATGGCCGTTTCGTCCTAGTATAGGACTCGTCAGTAAAGCGACTCTTCGACCCCACTACTCATAATCGAACGAAACGACCGCTCAGTGCTTTCAGGTTTTTAGTACTGATCTAGCGAGGATCATTTTGTGATGTAAACTTTGAAACTGATTGATCAGTCATTAAATTAGCAAAGATAATTATGGTCGAAATTAAGTGAACTTTATTTTATATCACGTCAAACTAGTAGTAGAAATAAGTTTGTATAGTTTTCAGAGAGTTTAGATTGATAATGTGGAGTATTATGTTTTCGCATCACAATCTGAAAATTCTGTCGTAAAACATTTCATTTACTCGATGCTTTATACTAAAGATGCACATAACACTCAATATACCATAAAGTTGAATTCTTAATCCTAACGCTAAATCCCCTAATTCTAGCCGTAAATCTGTAACCTTAAACAGGAACAATCTGGGTACTCCTAGAAATGTTGATGTTGACTTATAAGGGCTCGAGAAGAATGATGTTTCGTACCCATGTAAATAAATTTGTATAATCTTGTTTTTTTTTCAATCTATAGACTGAAAAATATTTGAAAGATTTCATCAGACTCATTAATTATGTAAACTTGGTTAACGCTTTGTAATATTATTGTCTTTTTTTCCACAAACTGTTTATTTGCAGAAACTGTTTTCCGATTTGCTAAGAACCCACTAAAAGTTTGTCCTGTTTGTTCTTATTTCGTTCTTATATTATACTCTTACTCATGATCTTCCCAAATCACTCTGATCACCTAGCAATTAGCTGATATCTGAAGAATCTTCATCAAGTTGATTTTCCCTCCTGCTATACTGACTTCATTAAGCTTGTCAGAAGTTGTAACTTATCAATATGGTTAGTGTTAGTAACAAAATATTGAACTGTTTACTCATCTAATGATCTCCCGCTTCATGATGGTTACTTATTTCATGACCTTTATCTGTAATGTGACACAAAGTGGTCACTTGGTTCGTGACTGAACTGACTACATGAGTGTGAGTGCGAAGTTTACAATGTTTAAATGTATTTTAATTACTAATAACTGAATCCAAAGGTATAAGGTTAAAATGGAACACAATAAAATGTGATCCACATTTTACCTTGTTAGTCACATTATATACTTCATATTTATATGTCAGCCCCATAGTCTAACCAAGGACATTAAGTATGTAATTATCTGATTAAATAATTATGATTCAATCAGGGAGGGTCAATCTAATCCATTAGCCGGTTTGTTGTCTGACTAAAAATATTCACAACGTTTTCACTGTCCAATAGGTGTTGCATTCAGTTCATCCGTTGAGTGGATAACTGCTACGTATTAGAGTGAATTTCTCACCAAATATTTCATTTGAAAAGTCTGGCATTATTCATAACTGTTTGCTATGGGAATGTCAATGTACCGGAAACCAGCACGCCAGATGAACAACTCAAATATGACGAAAGTTAAACCTTGATACGAAATCTCAGTAAAAGTATATCATACTGATGGTTTTGAGTTAATCAATCAAAATTGAGGTAGCTCCTCTTGGGTTTTACACAGTGCTGGATGACTTACATCTTATAATGAACTAAATAAGAATTAGCAATGTTTGGTTCTTAAAATATTTGAAGTTGATAAAAATACCTGTTATGCAATCAAAAAGTCAACATAAGATGGTGCTTATGCCAAGTTACAAGAAATATCTGGTCCTGGTGCATATTGTGCGTTAAAGTACCTAATATAATTCACCACCAAGGACTGTTAATGTCTATTTGATCGACATTAAATCTTGATGAATTCAGTAGTCATTTTTATGCTGAATTACTCATCATTTTAAATAATGAATTCATTATATACTCCATTTAATATCTAAAACACCATATCAGGCACAGCAATTGTAATCAGAAAAGGGAAATTTTATTGTTCAAATACACTGTCGAATTGATGAACTTTAGTTTACATTAAAGTCCCAAAAGTGTGTTTTGTTTCATTTAGGACTTAAATGTATCTGCATCCTACTGTTGATATTCACACCCTATACTGAACTCATTTTCGATTCGAACTTCAACCACGTTATCCACTGTGACCAGATAGCTACTGACTTGTTCATTGAGTACGGTGTTTATATCATTCGATATTATTAATTGAAACAATTTGCGCAGACAAGATGCTTATAACGACTGGTAAAAATTCAATCCACAATATTAGCAACGGGATAATTCAAATCGGCGCTGATTATAGTATTGTTTAAATATCCTTATTAAATCCTGTTATTTATCCTCGTTATTTTTTTATTCCTGTAAAAAAATAAACATTTGAAGCTAAACGAAAGCTTACGTCATATTTGGTTATGGCTTCATCCAGCAATGTCTGCATCAGCTTGGGAATTACTACAAACTTCTATTAAAGAAGTCAATTCTTTAAATGATACACAATGTGCACTTGAACTAGATGATGTAACGGGTTACTTTTGTCGCCTTCGTTTAATCGGTCGACAATCACATGGATTAATCAGTGATATTATTCAATTGAAGAATGGGAGTACACTTGACGAAAATTGGACATCTTGGAATAATGTTTCTACAAATATACGTGAAGCTGTCTGTGTCCCTTCGGGACTTGTTATTAGTCTACAGGATTGTGAAAATTTCCGTTCTAATAGGTAAAGAAAGAATTTTTAAAGAAATTTTTTTCATCAGTTTGACGTTTACAAATGTAATCGATATGATAATAATGAACAGATTGCACTGACCAACACATATTAACTACAATTATTCACTTTAATGTACCTGATTTGTGGTTGCCACATTTTATTATTAAACAAGAAACAACGCAATGTACATTTTAAATAATTTTGAAAGTAGTTGAATGATTGTCTCTAATTGGCTTGACAAGTGAATAAATGAACAATCTATTAGGATTATTCAGATCACCTGACAACATAGATCATAATTCTGAAGTAGAGAAAATTCGAACTCATCGGCTAAAAGCTATACATGTCGAATATGAACAATCGAATGAAACAAGGTGTTCATTATAATTCTAGTAAGACTATAATTTATGGATGACCTTTGAGCAACGCTAAAATGACTTTGAAATGTCCACCTATTTACTAGGGTTAAATATGGATTATATATTAGTGTGAGGACTTAGCATTAGGATCTACAGTTGAATGTTACGAATTAGATTTACTGTTTTTATCACGAACTGACATCAGATATGATGCCAAATTGTTATTTAGCCAAATGAATAAATAAATTTTGCACCAAAATTCAAAACCTACTATCTTAAATGTGATTGGGTTCGTCTATAAATTATAGTCTCAACATGATTATAGGTTTTCTTATCAGTTTTAATATACTATCCTCTTAGTCAACTGATGCATCTGTGTGAACAGTAGTGCGATGAAAAAAGGAACATTATTTTCTCTTTGTAACGAAATAATGAAAATAATAAAAGTATGATTTTGCAAAAATTAATGAATCAGTTCTCAGAAGTCTCATACACATTGTTCTGGATCTATATAAATATTTGTCAATATTTAAATGAAGAATTTGACAGAAATTAGGCTCCGAGTATATGAAGGACATTATATGCTAAAATTATAAACAGTTGGAATTTAAATCATTCCGTTTCTTACAACAAACTTGTCTGAACCTCTTCAAGCACGAGACTTCCCACCTTTACCACGTCCACTCATTGTTCGTCAGGCCCCCAACTTCCGTGGTACGGTTGAGAGTGGGGAGGGCCCTCCCTCACTCTCGAAATGCTCTCACATGACCACGCGTATGTAGCCTCTGTCAGGGAAGTCATACTCACTGCCTTCTCGTGGCGGGGGTGTTGATTACGAAAGCGAGAGGACGAAAAGCGAATGTCCGACGCTTTAACCCGGTTGATGGACATGGAAAGTCCATCTAGGGGAGTTGGGAAACCCTGATTGCAAACCAATGATGCACATGGGCTCCATTATCTTGAGGGAACGAATTGCGTATGAACCAATTGTTGGTCACTGGCTACCATGAGACTGCATCTCCTCACCATGCACCACTTACTTGTGGATCAGACCTTTAGGTCAAAGTCTTGGGGTGTGGCTCTCCAAGAGAACCACCTGTTTCGGTGTGGGCACCTGGGTAGTATCAAAGCCTTCACACAATTAAAATGAAATGTGTGGCGCATATGTATCTGGTGCCTCGTTGTATCAATATTTATATGTTCAAATAAATAAATAAGAACCTCTTCAAGGTGATAATCAAAATCAAAATTATTCTAGAGTAAATAACTTTTAACAACAAAAACTACACTAAAAGATTATCAAATCACACTCTTATGTTGATTTTAATGGGTAGGAAAATATAAGTCAGTAAGATATGTATAATGGGAAAGTTTACAATGTGGAAAAAATGATGGATCTGTGTATATATGCACATTCACTTCGTTGGTAGTTATGATTTAGTAAATAAATGCATGCAGCCAGCAACTAATCTACCACACATCTACTCACCTTATATCCTTCAGTCATCTTTAGCGTAGGACCAGGCACATATATGTGTCGGTCCAAGTTACCGCACCTCATTATTACAACAAGATGAACACCGAATTCATAAAGTAGTTACATCAATTATAATAATATGTATAAGAAAGATCGAATATAAAGATAGGGTTCTTTATTTTGTTATTCTAATTGTCTTATAAGCATGTTTACTTATTATCAAGCGAAAAAAAATGATATCCATTGTAAGAGTCATCTATTATCTTTAACCATAAGTGTTTAAATTGTCCACTTGGATTAGAATGAAGATACGTACAATATATAAATAAAAAGATCAAAATTTTTATGAAAATTCGATTACTATCTGGATCTTTGTTCTGTATTGTTGTTGTGATTAATTTATATTTATCTTGATTTGATATAAGAATAATCTATTAGAAACAAAATTGTGTTAAGTTTGATATTTATATTAGCTGAGAAACTAATGAACTATTCAATAGATTAGATTAATGTGAAACAATTTGATTAAAAAACTCATAGCTTAGTTTCTTTTTATTATACAAAACTAGTGTGTTTGAATTCAATTTTAAATATGTAAATAATAGATTATTATGTATAAGGATAGTTGAAATCATGAGTCAATTGAATCTAGACCACCTTGGAAAACCTGGAAGCACTGGACGGCCGTTTCGTCCACGATCCCGCCCCCCCGCGAGATTCGAACCCTAGACCTATCAGTCTCGCGCGCGAGCGCTTAACCATTAGACCACTGAGTCGGCATTCAACGGACGAAACGGCCGTCCAATGCTTCCAGGTTTTCCATAGTGGTCTAGCTTCAATTGACTCATGAATTCAACTACTGAAATGAATAAAATCTCCACAAAACCCCCTATTTTATAAACATAAATTATATAGAATGTATCTAGTTGTAAAATATAACAATGGTATATCATTATATTTGGAACTTATTCAATATATTATGTAAGGAATTCTATTATAATATTCAACAGATTATTTTTACTAACCATAGTATCAGGAAGTAAAATAATTTTAAAAGTCAGATAATATCAGTTAATACTTCATTTAAATAAATGATTAAATGTTAAATGCCTTTTTCAGGTCAGTTGATTTTGTCAAATTTTTTGTTTTCATTTTATTGTCAAACATTTTTATTGAAATTTCAATAATAAGATCACATGAATCACTTTCATTAATCCTTGACCTTAATACACATTTTTAACTGCATACATTCTTTTTGTTGTTGTTGTTGTTGTTGATTATTCATATGTAATAATATGAATTTTCCAATTACATTACATGTTTACTTAAAATGTTATCATTACTATGATCACTTCCATTATTCTGAACTGATATTAATTTAGTTTACCTTTTGAAATTTTTGATTGAGATCATGAATCGATTGATGTTAGATCACTCCTAATGCCTTGGAACTGCCAAGATTGGGGGAGAGTCAGCTCTCCCTCTCGAAATGCTCTCACATAGCCACGTACATACAACCACTGCCAGGGAAGTCGTACTCACTGCCTTCTCGTGGCGGGGGTGTTGATTACGAAAGCGAGAGGACGAAAAGCGAATGTCCGACGCTTTAACCCGGTTGATGGACATGGAAAGTCCATCTAGGGGAGTTGGGAAACCCTGATTGCAAACCAATGATGCACATGGGCTCCATTATCTTGAGGGAACAAATGGCGTATGAACCAATTGTCGGTCACCGGCTACCATGAGATTGCATCTCCTTACGATGCTCCACTTTCTTGTGGATCAGACCTTTAGGTCAAAGTCTTGGGATGTGGCTCTCCAAGAGAACCACTTGTTTCGGTGTGGGCATCTGGTTAGTATCAAAGCCTTCACACAAAATGAAATGTGTGGCGCATATGTATCTGGTGCCTCGTTGTATCAATATTTATGTGTTAAAATAAATAAATAAACCATTGAAAACCTGGAAGCACTGGAAAGCCGTTTCATCCCATTGTAGGACTCCTCAACAGTGCGCATCCACAATCACACTCGCGGGATTTGAACTCAGGGCATTCGGTCTGGCGCGCGAACGCTTAACCTCTAGAGCATTGCGCTGTGACTCAACGGTGTTAATGTCCAACATCAACCGATCTGTGATCTCGCATGCTGTATCGTGGATGTGCACTGGTAAGGGGACTGTATGAATAGTATCACAGTCAAAATGATCTTGTGAAATGTCATTTTCCTTGCTTGTGTGCTACCACTTCTTTATTTAATAAATTCGACATACATAATATTTTGTAAAATTATTCAAAAAGTTGATCTGGGAAATATTACATATCTGATACAAGTAGTCCATTTAATAAATTTGGATTGTATAACAAGGAGATGAATTTTATGAGAATTATGTGATATATCAACGGAATGAATTTCAAAATGTATTGCGCTAATGTATTTGATTATACTATCCAAACATTAAAAAAATTATTTTCTTATCCAAAGTGTATAACTATTAGAGTGTAGTATCTGTTCTTGGTGTTCATAGTTTATCTTAAACGAGCACTTAACTGTTTCCTGTTTTTAGTATATTAACATTCATGTTCCATTCAAAAGTAAGTTTTGTTGCAGCTCGTTTGAGCTTGTAGAGTAATCGATTGTAAGTCTTCAGTATCAAGAACCTTTGGGATACCGAACTGTTGAGTTTCCAATGAGACAATGTACTTCGTTCTGATTCTACTGCTTGTGTTACGTCCTTGATCCCCCTATCCAATTATTTACAAGAGAGAACTTGTCCTAATTTAGTTTAAAGCCTTGACGCGATAGGCTACCTAATTTAACCTTGAGGCCAGTAATGCGTGAGTTCGATTTGTGACTAAACAGCTTTAGAGGCAGAAAAACAAAAACTATTCTACCACCCAAGTGGATGACAAGCGAGAGTGTGAGAGAAAACGAATTATTCCTGATTCAGATTAACGCAAATACACATGAAAAGGTAGATTACTAACACAATCAAAACACACAAAGAACTAGGAAAATAAAATTATGTCAAAACTAAGCATCAGGATAGAAAAAGAGATTACAAAAGGTCACGTTTTAAATTAAAATGATTTTGGAACTTGAAAGGGTATGGCAGTAAATCATGAACTAAACGAAAGCTTATGATTTATAGAAACTAAATGTTACTATTTTATAGATTTAGAATAAAGTGAAGCAATGGCTATCAAAAATCGCTTTCATTGTTCGTCATGGCTTCTTATTCATATAATCTTATTAGACACTGTCAATATGTTCATTTTAAAGAATTGTTCGCTTTCTGACTATGCGAATAGTGTGCTGCATTATACACAGTTCTATATTTTTCAATAATATATTTTGTAGGCCACATTTGAAAATTCGTAATCGAAATTGGTCTCTCATGCCAATCAAATTAAGTGACAATGATCCTCAATATCAGGACCAATTACGTATGAATGAATCGTTAAATAACAAATCTGGTTTCGTACTACCTTCTGGTAAACAATTATCTTGGTTAGATATTAATAAATTCTATCCAAATCACACTAATTCACCTGACCAATTACTCTCAACAAAAATTAATCTGGTATTGGTTTTTTCTTTAATTTTAATATTTTAAATGTTTTACATGAAATAAATTTCAGTTTTCAGTATAGGGATTTGTAGACATTGCAGTATTTTCACAGTTGAAATCACGAGTCGATTTAAGCTAAACCACCACTGAAGACCTGATCAACAGTTTCGTCCTAGTATGGGGCTCCTCAGCATCACACATACACAATTTTGCTTGTGGGACTCGAACCTAGAACCTTCGAATCGCGCGCGGATGCTTAACCTGTAGACCACTTAGGTCGACTCATGAATTAAACTGTGAAAATACTGCAATCTTCGCAAATTTCCATACTGATAACAATACTGTTCTCACCAGTGACTGGCTTCAGGATGTAATTTCTGGAGTTCTAGTGAGAATCCGTGACCAGTGGAGTCCACTCTGTGTTGGGTGCGAGACAAATATCTACCTCAGGTTTGGGATGGAGGGTTGCTCAAGATCATAGATTGGTTGAAGTTAGACGCTAACACCGTTGGGTGCCGTCTGGCGAACGAGACTGAAGGTTTTGTGTTCGAGTCCCGGATGTGGGATCATGCATGCGCACTAGAACGGGACGATCGTCCAGAGCTTTCAGGTCTTAAATGTTGGATTAGCGTAGATCGACTGGTGGTTGCAGCGGTGATTATAAATGTTTTATGAAAAACATTTTTATATCATGTTCATAGAGAATCGCAATTTATGCGGAAGATAAAACAAGTACAGTGAATTTTTTAGGACTTATTGTAAAGAAGGTGAATTGGTATTCTAAGATATTCGAGTAAGTTATTCTTCTCGATTACCCTGACTATAAACAAATGTTCTTTCTTATGGGACTTCGAAAGTGATTATTTATTTTTACCTCTAATGGTTTCATACTTGTTTATGTTTCATGTTGCTTTTATTATTACTCGATTAGGAAACTAAAGAAAACAGTATAGATGTTGTTTTGATCCAGAATAGTACACCGTCATTGATTCGTTCTTCACCTGAAACCGTTGGTTGGGATATAATATTACGACGAAATTTTCCACAGTCAGATAATGATTTATTACTTCGTGGTTCTTTAACAGCGCGTGATTTTCTTATAGCTTGTGTTTATCGAGGAGCTGAAGTTGGAGGTCTACGAGATTTATATTATTGGGCGGGACTTGGAACATGTGCAGGTGGACGTTTTGATTCATTTCCGGAAACTTTATGGCCTGATACCTTAGCTGGTCGGAAATCTGCAGAAATTGTCACTAAAGAGAAGTTAAATAAATTGATGTAAATTAATAGTGTATTACTATTTCTTAGTGTGCATAATTTGGTTAATGAGAATGATAATAATAATATGGCATAGATTTTGAAAATAACTACAGAATGCACATTAATTTACAGAGATAATCAAGTTTATTTTAAAATGTAATGGTTCGTGATTCATAGATGTTTTAAGTTAAACTCTTGTCACATGAATTTTAATAACATGAAGCAGGTGGATTGTACAATCATAAATGACAGCATTTTATAGCACAATATTTTTACTGGAGTATACCATGTAGAACTTATCAGCCTTGTAAACACAGTTATCTCAGTAAGCAATGTGAGAAGAGATTAAGTATGTTAAGGGAATAGTATGAACCGTTTAGCATGATAAATGATTCATAAGACCAAACAGTTAGTAATCAGTATTTTCTTAGTTGTAGGACAAGAACTTCATGTTTTTTAATAAATGGAGTCGCCAATAAGGATTCGATTCCTGTTACTCGGTAATTATAGTAATGCAAAAGTAGAAAAAAATGAAAGAAAAAAAGAGCACGGAATAACAGCAGGAAATATTACCATGATCAGTCTGTCATCATATATATTTTTTAGTTGAGATCATGAACTGGACCCTGCGAGCGGGATCGTGAGTGCGCGCTGCTGAGGAGTCCCACAACAGGACGAAACGTCTGTCCAGTGCTTCCAAGATTTCAATGTTGGTCTAACATCAACCAGTTCATGGTCTAAATCAAAAACTTAATAATCTCCACAACCCTATACTGTATCATCAAATATATGTTAGCTTTTTTTTCTAACCAAATGATATATAGAAATTCCACTTAAATAAATCAGGTTTTGTATTTACATTCTTAAAATAACGGAGTGGATTTAAAAAAAATCAGAACAAAGTTTAAGATTGATGAAGAATAATATAAGAGATCAACCTACGTCATTCATATTGATAATATTTTGTTGATTCCAATCTTTTGTTTACATCGATTTCTTATAAAATGCCAAGAATTTTCATACTCCATTTTAATTTATATATATCTCTTTTCAGTCGCCTTCCAAGTAATTTACGCCCTGATTTTACTAAATTCGGTATTACTTGTCCATTTCTTTATCCTTGGTCTGAACTGATTACACAAAATTCTATAAGTATTGGAAAAACAACAGATTCAATTGTTTCATCAACAATTTCTAGTAATGATAATGTAATTACATCTAGTTCAGTTGATAATAATCAATGGTTTGTTCTTCGTGAACCAGGATTACTTCGTTTAGTTGTACATAGAATGATCATTGGAGAAAATCGTGCTAAATTATCAATACAACAATTGTATAATTATAATTCATTACTTTTGAATGCAATTATTCTAGTAAGTTAATTAATTTATAGTAGTCAATATGATTTTATTCAATATTTTATTATTTTTGTGTGATAATCAATTAAACTAAGTAAGTGTTTACGGATATGGAATAGGTAATAATAATAATAATAATAATAATAATAATAATAATAATAATAATAATAATAATAAAGATATTCTGAATAAAATAATTACAGAATTAATACCAGTTTATAGGCATGATCAGCTTGATATAGATATCAATATTAAATGTAGAGAACAGAGATGTGATATAAATCTGTTTTAAGTTTTCTAGTTCCAAAATTGTATTAAAGCGATGAAGGGTATCATCTAAGAGCTTTTAATTGTTTTTTAAGTAGACATACTGTTGATGTGCCATAACGGATTGATTATAATCATCCACAACTAGAGAAAATAAAACAGAATCAGAAAGCACCGATTAATTAAAGCAATTATTACTACGATAGGTTAGTCTGGTCTACCATGATACATGTGCTAGGTTATTTTATGATATATTGTTCGTGTTAGATTTTATTCAAATTTACTAAGTTTACGAGGGACAATGCGGGTGTAAAGTACTCAGCAGGCAGGGAAGTTTACTTAGTAGGCTCAGCAATAAAAGCAATTAAGCATTTAAAGATTGTTTCACTAATGACAAAGAGTTACGGATGCTGCAACTATGAGTTTCTGAATATTAAATTGCTTCATAGGATGTATATGATAGTTTATTAAGCATTTGGAAGAAAAATATTAGATTTATTCTAAGTTTTCTCTTCCATAAAGGATCAGGTCCATGTTTATTACATTCACACTTTATCTGAGTTTTCAACTTCAATATTGTTTCTTGACGTATCAGCCCCATTGAAGTTGGTTATGCTTTTATTAGTGAAGCCGATTGGGTTTTCTGGCTGTTTAATTGCCATTTTAGGACAAACATACCCGGAAATCGTAGGAACTCCGTTGGTCGTGGCGCGCAGGCGTCGCGCTTAGGACTAGTACATGCATACCAGTAACATAGGTTTTCAGATGCATCCCAGAGCATAATCTCGTCCTTATGAGGATTGATGGTCGTCACTCCTTTGAATCGTATTTGCTACATCTTATGCTTTATATGCACATGCCAGAGGTACATAAGGTTGCGCTCATGCGCATAAGCATTCCTAAAGAAATTGATGGTCGTTCCCTCTCATTATCATGGGGCAAACTATCTCTTCTTCTTATGGGACTTATAACGTATTTGCATATCATTTGTACGCAATAATCTGTTAGCTGTTTCGTTGTATGAACTTCGTGGAAAATAAGAAGGTACTCACCAAATACAATGAAAGATAGTCGCGCAATATCTTGAACTGGCCGGAATTAGACTTGTACATAAGCGGATCCCGTCAAGTGTTAGCACACAAGACTGAAGTTCTTGGGTCAGACTCCCAGATCCGAAGTAGTGGATGCGCACAACTGAGGAAATTTATACTATGGTGGAACAGTCAACGAGTGCCTCGTGGTTGTCTAACATAGGTCGGTTTTTGGTTTTAATGAAATCAGAAGTACTGACATATTATCTTTTTGTAACGTCGCTTGATGGTATCTCAGATAAAAAAGGAGTTCCATCTAAAGCTTTTTATTTTTACATAAAGCTGTCTATTCGTTTGTCATCTTAGTTACTAACTTGGATCTTGGAAAATTTAGCTAAAACTTAAAAGGAATACACTTTATTTGAGGGGGGGTTTTGCATTTTAGCTTGGTGAATATATGAAGGCGTTTCTCTACTGACAGGCTGTTTTGTAAAGGTTTATTTGTCGCAAGTACGAACTTTAGGTGTAAAGAGAGATACTGTTTAATCTGACTACTACAGACGCCAACCTAAATCTAATACAGACTGATCGTTTATTCATTCAATTTTAGGACAGATATGCAAAACACTGGCACTGTATTTAAAGAATTTTATCAGGTCCGATCATGATGTACTGTGAGTATACATATTACGTAGAACATAAAAACGTTAAGTTACTGAACTTATTCTTCATAAATCATACAGCTTATTTAAGTTTGGTAGGAGCTATGTGAAACTCCCATTGACATTTTGAAATAGACCATTCCGTTCGAAACATGACGTTGATAAATTTATTTCAGAAATAATTTTTAAAAAGGCATATTTTATAGAGTTCCCGTTAGACAACTGAGTAACTATGACTTTAAAACAGTCTGCTTTTTGTTTATTCACTAATAAGATCTCTTACATAATTTTTATTATTTGTATTTAAGGTTTATGTGAAAACTGAACACCGAGGTGTACCACAGGCATATGCGCGTATTTACGCATTCTATCCTAATGAATCTACTAGAAAAAATTCAAAAGAGGATAACAGTAATCCTGTGACTAATTCAGCAGTTGATAAGGAATCTCTTCAGAATTCTCGTCTTCTAATTGGTTATGTTCAAGATGGTGGTTATGGTCAGTCACTAGGTCGTGGAATTGGATTGGGTTTTATCAGCTTAAGTGCTTTATCAAATGCTTTAAATTTGATTAACACTACCAAAAAAATAAAATATTGCATTCAAAATCTTACGTCACATCAATCCTATAATGTCAGACTTTCTGTAGTGATTTAAACAAGATATTCAGTTACTATGTTTATTGTCTATAATGTAAAAAAGCAATATAATTTATACGAAGTGTCTGCTTTCAGTTTGTAACACAGTATGTAATACCTCTTTAATGTCATAATCTCTTCAACCACCGATTAAGATTATCTTCCAAACTCTAAACAGTTAGTTCACGTTTTCCAGTGTTAGTATATAAGTTTAGTAACTAATGCGACTGCTACTCTGAATCTTCCATCCTCTTCTTAATTACTGTAATATTGCTTAACGAATATAGGTTGCAATCGGGTACTCATATTCGAAACTTTCCATTCATTACGAATATTGTTTCTTGAATTTTGCTTAATCCTTGTTTGTGACGGCAATAATATTGGTTAAAATGTCTTAAATGTGTCATTGGAACACATCACAATACTGAAAATCTCCGAAAAATACATTTATGCGGCCTCCTAAATTGATATTGAATATTAAAGTTGGTGGTTATTTTTGGAGTAACAAAACTATTAATCTGTGTCCTGTAAATCTACCAATCTGTCTACTATTACGTAATGAATGTATAAGTCAATGGAAATAAATTTAACTATCTCCAAGGGGATATCTGCTAAATACGTTCAGTGATATAGATTCCTAATGATGTCATCAATATTTACAACTATATCTGTTATCATCATATAAGGTTGAGGTTGAAATGCTGTCCACATAGAAAATTATGATAATTTGAACGGGTTTATTTAGTATTAGAATAATTGATACAATAAATTTAGCTTTCTCTACTGTTCAGGTACTTAGAATACATAGTATCATTGATTCACTTTTTAGACTGCTTTAAGTTATAGTTAATTTTTGATTTATGTTTCATGTATATGTTGTAGTTTCCTATCGAGTCTCAAATTTTTGAACAATTAGTTAAATACCGTAGAATAGTATGGAGCATCAATACAAAATACTACAACTATTTATTAGAACACAGATTTAGGAACGAAGAATATTATTTCTAATAATTCCTCATCAGAATCTACATTTGTACATCCAAATTGACGAGCCATGATGATAAGAATACGTAATATTAGTTACGTGTTAATTGCTGGAAGCGGACTTCGTCAATTAGAACAAACCGATAACAGTTGAATCCCTAAACATATATATGCGATGAGACCCTGAACTGCTCAGTGCTTCAGGTTATCACTAAGCCGCTCTAAACTCCACCTCTCGACCGATCATTTACAATCAACTTAACATACTCGCTACAAGTGTTTTTGCAATTAACACAAGCTCATTTTGTGACCTTGTTCCGTTTGTTTCGCTTCTACAGCCTTGGTTACATCTTTAATTAACACATTATTTGTACAGTTTTTCCATACTTTCACGCCTATTTTGATCATGACACTATTAGTATTTGATCATATGAATATTTTGAAAACCTTTCCAACTCATATACGCATTTTGGTTTATTCTCAAGCTCACTTGAGTGATTAATAATATTATTATCAGCATCACTAAGTATACTTAATGGTTGCTTTTTGAATTAGTAAACAATTTCAATCATGTGTCTACTCTACTGTGACAACAATTCACAGATTTTCCTCGTTGTTGGTTACATTGACATTTCTTTTGGTTATTCTATTCCTACAGGAGCCGGACATGAATGATTATAATATTCATCATTATCAAGCAAACTATGGTCATATATGTAAGATTTAAAGCTAACAGAACGTTTACTGTTTGTACACTGAAGGCGCTTATCAAAAGAATTATTTATATGAGAAGTATAGTAATGCGGATATCACAGTAAGCGTACAACCGTCAATTATGTAAGTGTTACAGATGTGTGCACGTAAAACACTATAATCGGTAGTTACAAGGTATATAGTTAAACACATCTAGCTTGGTGGGGGTTGATAGTATTTTGAAAATATGAATACTTTCCCCACTAAGTTCCATATTACGTCCTTGCTTTCCGGTGTATATCGAAGTGAACATTAAAAAAATTCTGAATATCGATAGTTTACAAATTAATTTCAGAAGTAATAAGTAATAAAAGAACGTTACACATGATGATTTTCATGTACAAAAAGTCTTTTTTGCAACAGTAGAAGTTACGTTAAGATGGAAATTTGATTATACAAACCTAGTAATTTAGCGTGAGCAAACTAGTTTACTTAAACCGATAAAGTAAAGAAGAAAATATCTGGATTTATAAATAGTATAAGCAATGTCATGGTTATCGAACATCCATGAAGTTGATAGGAAAAGGAAACATAAGTAGTTCAAATCGATGCTAATTTCTAAACTTAAGTTTTAGAAGCATATTCAACATGTGACTACTGAAGCTGTTTACCATGCGCTCATCTTATACATTATTATGAGATCAATTATATATATACTTCAACTTGTGGACTTTTACCTGTTTTATACGTTCTTTAAGTGACATACTATCGAAGTTTAAAACATGATTCCCTTGTGTAAACCAGTAGTTACTGATCAACAAATACTTCACATTTGGCAAGCATAATAAATGAGTGTTTTCAGTATATGTCTCTGAGGATTGTCGATTTTGATTAAAATGATAGGCTACCATTGAAAATCTGGAAGCAGTGGACGGACATTCCATTCTAGGATAGGACTCTGCTGGGCACACCCACGATTCAATACGCGGAAACTGGACCAAGACCTTCTGGTCTTGCGCTCGAACTCTTAACCACTGGACTAATAAGCCGGCATCTAACGGTGTTAGTGTCCAACTTCAATCAATCTACGATATTGTGCAACTATCTTCCATACTAGGGCGAGACGGCTGTCCAGCGCCTATGGATTGCTCTAATATTGATCAGTTCATCGTAAATGGTACTCATTGAATATCCAAATAAACTGTTAGACTACAGTCATACCTACTTTGTTTTGTGACGCAATGTGGTTAATCTTATGAAAAACGTAATGATTAAATAAAAAGACCACTGGGAACTCAATTCGAGAAACATGAAAAACAGAAGTGCCAGTATTGAAGCCTTATATATGTACTAACGGTCTCACAGATTTATGCCTAACTAGCTTTTGAACAGATCAACACTAATAACAAACAAAGATACACGACTATGTAAATCTATAGAAGAACAACATCACAAACCATTTATATTCTCATTGATTATGATTTGATTAGCCTGTATATCACAACACAATGACATCATATGCTAAATGTAGAAAGGTAAAAGATTTACATCGCAAATATGTATTTATTTCAGACATTCTTTGAAAAAACCAAACAAAGCAAAACAGGGAAAAAGGATGGTATTACCAGGCAACCTCACATAAGCCTGAAGTTGGTTTGAAAAAGCATGAGGTGATGCAACCTGATCCTACCTGAAGTTTTTATATTTTCAATAGGGCTAACCAATGTTTTACATGCCTCTATCTCAAGAGGATCGACCCACATTAAGATTTGAATGATATAAACAATGAGTTGTAACTCCATGCATAAGTCTAAGAATAAAGAAGTCTCACACTGAATAAAATTCTCCAGAAGGCATCAATTTATTAGCTCTGAACAATTAACATGGGTATAGTACTTTGCAAACTCAGGTTGCCTGGATTTGACAGTATTATTTAGCGTAAAATATAATAATGACAATGTTAAAATCAGATAGTTTGATTCATTTGCGACGTGAATAAAAGATCTTACGTAGCTTCCTGTACCTAAACTAGGCTAGGTGGACCATATCAGTTGTAATTAATTGGTATACTTAACTCTAAAGTTATGGAAAATAGACATAAAATTTTCGATTAAATGAGATAAAACTGAATGTTACAAAAAACTCATAATTTACAAATAAGATTTCGCAAATTTTGTAACATTAAAGTTTGAGAGGATATTATTGTTAACTGATACTTCTGTTAAATAAAAAGTATTCTGGTAGTAAACATCATTCACTTTTAATTTCACATGTAGTACATACAGAAAATAGTGTATCATGATAATATTTACTTCTTAACAGTCATTATCACCATTTATATGGAAGAAAATTATACATTAACAGGCCAATAAAATGAATAACTACAACATATGGAAATGAGAGAATCATCACTGTCGTCAGTTTGGAGACGATGGAAGCAGATCATTGACAAATTCCAGATTATCATCTAGTTGAAGGAAATAACAATAATAGTTACTCAAAAAAATAAGTCAAAGACTAATTTGACTATAACGAACTGATTAGTTTGAATATTATAGGGAAGATATAAATACACAGTTACCTGTTACATTTGTACAATCCTTTTTATTAACAAAGTATAAATGATAACAGAAGAATGTTTGTGTTTCAGCAGTACCTTCATTTATTATGAAATACGTCTTCTCTGAGATGAAATCAGCGGTGATTGATTTAACTGAAGTACTAAGCATCATTTGTGAGATTCACTATAGAATGCACTACACATGAGTAGTAGATTTTATATTGAATAAACTCATTTTTGTATTTCATTGATCCATCATAAAATAACTGTTAACTTATTTGTTGATGCGTTCTCTTTATCCATTCTGCCATATCACACTAATCATTCTTGCACTCGTGCTGTTACTGAGTTTATTACTTTGAATGTAAATTTTAATCGAGGCTAATTATTATGTACTATCAGTCAATCAGTCAGTCAGCTACAACGTATTATGTACTATAGGATCATTCATTATTTATGTATAAATATTCTGAAGAGCCAACACTTGTTCTACTTTAATCGGATTCCATTGAGCTATTTAAGTGAATCTAACATCTCATGTGACGGTTAACATACAAAATTTGATAAGCGGAACAGGTTCGAACTGTTGTAACGTGTGTGTGACTGCAGTTTAGATGGAGCAGCGTATTTATCGACCGGACCAATGACACGTAAAACACGTAATGAACGGCCTCGAGTTCTGATTGGTCCCGCTTCCCTGTCTAGCCCAGCCAGTTGAGTCCAGAACGCAAGTCTTAGTTTCTGAGGTATGAATCATTATATTTCAGACATACTCTATTTACATACCAATCAACCCGACCACATTTGTACAATATTTAACAAGTGAAATAAATAACGACCAATAGAGAGTGTACATTTAAAGTCCAAGGCCACTATTAGACTTAACATGATAATTATTGGTATATTTTTCTGCACATCCTAACACGAACCCACGATCTAATAGTTGAAATTTCCGAATGATTCTAAACTAATTATACAGATACTGACTTATTTTATGCACTTAGTTGATCTGTTAACTATTTCATCCAAGAAAAACTAGTATTTTTAATTTTGTTGTAGACAGAAATTTGTATGACTAGTTACACATTAAGAGTTAATCACACTAGTCATTAAAAATGGTACAACTTACCAATTAGATTGAAGCTGCTATTTGTTGGAGTACACAAGTGAGATTCTTTTAATTCCATAGTAGAAGAGACTAATGTATATTTAATGGAAGAAGAAAAAGTCAACAAAATAAATCAAGCTTATAGACAGACAAAATAGGAATCAAAATTCACCAATAATAATAATAATTTATCTCAATTTTCTTGTTTTGATTCGTTTTTCTCTAAATCAGAACATTTACAGCATAAAAATGTGTAGAAAGACACTTTACAACATTATTTACACAGTACATTGAATCAAAAATAGTAATTTGCGTTCAGTAGCGACTACATACAAATAGAATTTTTGAGATAGTAGGGAGGATTGGTAGTCTAAGTAGATAAATCTGGTGGCCTTAATCTTTGAGCTCAATGGTTTAATCGAGCACCTTCCACTGTCCTTCTGAACAACATAATGACCACAAATTTCAGATAGAAATGAGCTATCTGCATTCATTCACACAAGACTGACATGTCCTGTTGACCTCGGCCTCGACTGACTGATGATGACCCTTGCCCTGCAATCGCTCGTAAACTTATTTAGATTGTCATTCCTTTTGACCTGGTTCTTGATTTTATAACTGTTTATGACTCTCATAATTGACCGAAATCAGAAAAACATGGACAACCGTAAAGTTAAAAACTGATAATCAAAATAAATATGCAAGTAATGACTAGACAAGGGTCAATATCAACAAATCATGATCGAGGTCACCAGGACTACGTATCGGTCTTAAATGGGGAAATCCGGATGACCACAAAATTTATGTCTACGTTATCCAAAAGGAAATTGAGAGCTTCATAACCAAACCACTCAACACAGAAAACAGGACTCTATCAGAAATCAAATATTAGTATTGTATATGCTTAAACTAAAAATTCTTGTAGGCTAAAAGGTATGTAAGATTACAAAAACGAAAAGTCTACTGATGTATAGAAAAAAGTAAAAGTTAATATAATATGTTAGAAAGAAAATTTTTACATACACGTTTAAAGTAAAACCAAGCAGATTTATACATTACCGCTTTAGAAGTTAATTATCATGTCGCCAAAATCTATTCAAGAGATAGATAGTGACCATTTCCCCGGAAACCAAGAGATGTAGAGGAAAATACAGTTTCGTAAGGTGAAAATTTCTATATTCATTTTGAGCGTTTATTCTTACTTACTATTGGAAGAGAAGTGTTATTATGGCGTCATATTATAAAAATTATATTAGATATGTATTTGCATTTTTGTTTTATTATGTGTAATCCAGTACGATCCTTTTGTACAAAAAAACAAACCTTTTCAATTGTATCCTATGTGCAATAGTAGTAAGTATTCATTGAAGTGTCAATACATGAATGCTCTTCGCTAATTCTAACAAGTGATTTAAATTAGAACTATTTGTAGCAAACTCGACTAACTAGTGATATCAAGAAAAGAATACAAGTTTTCATTCATCTTCTGGGTTATTTAATTACAAGTCGTTTGTTGCTCTGATAAAAAACTGATTCAAATTTATTGATTGGCCGTTATTTACTGTAAATCTATGTGTCGATAAGAGAGTACAAATGAGAAATGAAATACACCTCAGTATTTTCTACACAGACCACTTACAAAATATTTTATTCAAGATGTCTGATTGCACATACCTTACTTTTACTAACAGAATGCTATTTTACTAAACTGAGTGGATAATGTACAACCCATAGAGAAGAAAACATAGCATATATAGGAAAAGTCAACGAAACTTACATGACAGAAAAGTAGGTGGTATAGATACTGGTATATTGGATAGATCTTTTAAAGAATATTTTATTGAAGGTGGTTTATGCGGAACTAATGATGTGACAGGAAACTGGGTTTTCAAAATATCTTCACAATAATCAAGTCCCTTCATTTTTAACATATCAGTTGTACTGGTCATAATTTCTGTTAATGATAGAAAGAATTGACAGTTTGAGTAATATGAAAAATAAAATTATACAGAATAACAATAATTTTAAGCTTAAAATTACATAGCATTAATTGAAACATAAATAAATAATATATTTGAAATATCCCAATAAGCAGAAAAATTAGATTTTCTGACGTTTCGTGACTTAGTGTAAGCCACTTCTTCAGAGAATAAATAGTACAACGGAACAATAAAAATAATTTCTCTACTCATTGGGATATTACAAATATCCACAGATTGAAATCATGAGTCAGTTGAAGCTAGACCACCATGGGAAACCTGGAAGCACTGGACGGCCGGTTCGTCCTACTGTGGGACTTCTCAGCAGTGCGCATCCACGATCCCGCACCCCGCGGGATTCGGACCCAGGACCTACTGGCTTCGCGCGCGAGCACTTAACAATTAGACCACTGAGCCGGCATCCAACGGTGTTAATGTCTAACTTCAACCAATCCACGAAGTTGCGCCACCGTATACCATTGTCTTCAGTGAGCTGATATCTCACAACAGACCCGGTTGAACTCCACTGGTAATGGCTTCCCACTAGAACTCCAGGAGTATCTCTTGAAGTCAGTCACTAGTGAGCAGATGATTATTATCAGAAGAGGTTTGTGGGGATTTTAGAAAATTTCACAGATTGAAATCATGAGACTGAAACTACTCGAAATGATTTTTTAACTAAGATAAGTATGGGACTCCTTAGCAGTGCTCATCCACGATCCCGCACCCCGCGAGATTCGATGGTATACGGTGTCGCAACTCCGTGGATTGGTTGAAGTTAGACATTAACACCACTGGATGTTGGCTCAGTGGTCTAGTTGGTTAAGCGCTTGGCGCGAAACTGATAGGTCCTGGGTCCGAATCTCGCGAGGTGCGGGATCGTGGGTGCGCACTGCTGAGGAGTCCCATACTAGGATGAAACGGCCGTCCAGTGCTTCCAGGTTTTTCATGGTGGTCTAGCTTCAACTGACTCATGATTTCAATCTGTGAAAATTTCTAAAATCTCCACAAACCCCTTCTGATAATGTTACAAATATATTAATTCATTTATAACAATCTAACCAACGTTCAATTTGTTCAAAATTAATAATTGAAACAGTTAAACCGCATAATATATGCTTAGTGGATGACATGAATTTTAGTTATTGAATTTGTAAAATCTAAAAACTAATTAAAACACGATCGAATAGCGTGTATTCAATTAGTTAAATTCTATTTATCAATGTTTTATTGTACTTAACACAACTATTATTAACATAGGGTTATTACGAAGATAAAAAGTGAAGGATTACTAGTCCTTTTGTGATAGTTCTTTTTTTGTATTTTCTTGGTTATGTTATCAATAAATTCAATCATACAATAACTGAATTGATCATTATGTATATAAAATGACGCTTTTAATTGTATTATATATGTTTATAAATTTGAATGGTAAATCTGTCTATTTGAAATCGATTTGATTAGGATTAGAGATTTGCTTCTAGGTGTAGACGATAATGTAGTGTCGGTTGCTATGTCAAACCCACATAGGTTATTCTAGCCTCTGGACAGATCAATCTATTCATTCTTTCCAAGCTACATTTTTACCCTATCTGTTTTTTTATATGATCGTATGTGTGTGCATATCTTACCTTACTCATCACATATATGTAACTTATTTTCGTCTGAATATAGATATCGATTCATGCTTGCATAAAGTGAATTAGCTCACTCGCTTTCTCCACCGTGCGTCATTTCGCTTCGTTTGTCTGGATCAACGATTGTATGAAGTATACTTATTCAAAATTGATTCTCGTATTTGACTTATTTAATTCCGTTATTTACTAACGCAATTTAAGTCTATTATATATACAAGGATAACAGGGATGTATATTTCGATAGCAATCACTCGATAACGATAATCATACGATCCAAATGGAGTCAGATCTCGAGTCACTAAAATAACTAGGCTAATCAAGTAATCCGGGTAATTAAATAATACGCAAATGTGTTTCATTACTATAAGATGTTTAATGTTTTGTAAACCAGATAAATCTAGTTTCTCGATAACAACAGTAATAAAAATGCGAGGAAAAAATGTGTTTGAAAGACAGATTTTTCAGGATATGATAATAAAATATAGGTCATAATCTCACTTGCATAACAATATGTGCATCACAAGATTATAAATGGTGTTTTTGAATTAAATGCAATTGCAAGTGTTTCTTTTCTTTTCTAAACGATTATTTGATATATTCAATTGTATTATCAGATGTACGGATTAAATAAGTACTCAAAAGATATAACCATAAATCCTATACGCACTACTACCAAAATCATACCTGATATGACGAGATAAAATGACATGATTAAGATCAATATTTCTTGTATCAACTCATTATGAATATAGGCCAAAGTGACAGATGAAAACTTTGTTCGGTGTGATATTTTGAGGTCAATATTTTCCTGTAACAATCCAGTATAAAGTTTGTTTTATATGACAAGTGTGAAGTCTCATTCAGGGTGATAATTTTATTCCCTGTATTAATACAGGAACTATATATAATGTGTTTTTACAGTTGTATGTATTTCACCACCTATGTAGTACAAATATAAGTGTGTGTGAAGTTTGGTATATAAATGTTTATAATGTGGTCTAAGGATGATTTGAGACGTATTTCTGGGGAGTCTATCCTCATTGCACCAGTCTTTTCCATTCTCAATTTGCATCGTGGAAATTGTAGTGGTTCCTGATTATTAAGTTAAAGCACTTAGACTGTGGACTCAATAAAGTTGATAAGTACATAACGCAGACGACAACTCTGATATAACAGTAGGTTAACCAGGAAAAACATTACCATAGAAGCCAAATTATCCAAGTTATAAGAATGCTCTATTCTATTGCAACGATATCGAAATTCAACATTAAAACTATACATTTTTAACTTACCCGTATACATTTCATCGGTAAGAACATTTTCTGGTGAGTTTATACTTAGATTTTGCAAAGTATTTTCAATTTTTCGCGTGCGGGGTGGAGATAACGAATTAGAAATTGTATGATCAACTTTCAAATAGTTTCCTTTCTTTAGATCCAGGAAGTTCATTCTAGGATCGTTAACTGGACTACATTTAAGTGATGATGTTGAATGCTTGTAGGTGGATTCATCAGGAAAGTTGAACTGTAAATTACTCCTTGCTGGTGCTGAATAAAAGTGAGCAATAGTTGATTTAAAGAATTATGCAAAAGCAACGCAGTGATTGAATGGGTTACATTGTACAAGGATATTTATACTTTGAGACAGTACAACAGAAATTTAAGCAAGTATTTGAGCAGTATTAGAGTGAAACTAAATACAGTGAAGAGACTAAAATACCTGCTTTCGTAATCATGTTACCCAAAGTCACACGACTTCCTAGTTCGGTTGATTTTCGCTTTACAGTTTACTGGTATTGTAGCAAACTAAAATAATTCAACACGCTACAAGGTTCTGTTCATTATCTGTCAAGGCAAAATCAATGTTTATAATAGGATGATACCACATACTTTCAGTATGACAATGTTAAGTTAGTAGGCCAAATTGGTTGGGATTAGCAGACAAAAACCTTATACTCATGATCTCAACTATTGAAATTACTACAATCTCCACAAGACCCCTTCTGATACTAATTAACATATGCTCACAAGTGACTGGCTTCAAGAGGTATTTCCTAGAGTTCTAATGAGAAGCAGTGGTCACTGGAGTTCAACCGGGTCTGTTGTGAGATATCAACTCACTGAAGACAATGGTAAGTGTGTCGCTCGATTTCGTGCATTAGTTGAAGTTAGACATTAACACCGTTGGATTCCGGCTCAGTGTTCTAGTAGTTACGCGGTTGCGCGCGAGACTGATAGGTCCAGGGCTCGAATCCCGCGAGGCGTGGTCGTGGATGCGAAATGCTGAGAAGTCCCACAGTAGGACGAACCGGCCGTCCAGTGCTTCCAGGTTTTCCATGTTAATCTAGCTTCAATTGACTCATGAACTCAACTATTAAACTTACTTATACTAATATCCTAACTCGAACAACGTTAGTAGACAAACTAGTTAATGAATATAGAGCAATCACGTTACCCTGAGTAAAAAATCTAGCTCATGTAAATAAACGTTCAAAATAACGAGGAATAATGGCAACATATAATCAGATTGCAACAGTTTTAAGAGATACAGTACTTAGCATCAGCGAAATACGGTTAGTAAACCAAGTTAGTTGGTGATCTCCAGTGTTGTTAGAGGTACGAAAGCGATTATCAGTCCCCAGTTTCCTATATTGTGGACGGACGCTTCTTCTTCACAAATCTGGAAAGGAGATTGAATCAGGGGTGATCTTGACAGCCTAGAAGCATGACCTCAGAGCTAAAAGGTTAACTTTTTGAGTCTCGTTATACACGTGGCTTTTAATAAGCAGTTTGAAATGTCTTAGCTCCGTGCTTCAAAGGTTTTACCGATGACGCCGGACATCTGTAAGGGAAGATGAAGTGTGTTACTTCTAGATCTGACCTGTGATATCCCCGTTCCATTATGGAGAGGGCGTACTGTTGTAGATGGTAGTTGCTGGAGGGAAACACCTCAGTACAGTCAGGAATACGGCAGTCCTTTGACCTTAACGTTGTTGCTTTTAGTCTGACTGTTCTTCAGCCAACTTGTCTATCGTAGTAGGACTCAAATGAACAAATGTTCCAGTAAAAAAAACTTGATTAGGTCATCACGAAATATGACCCCACTCACCACGTCAAGATAGCAGCTGCTACAATCTAGCAACAAACCTTAATTTACGATTAAGATAAATATACAATTATTTTTATTTGAGAAGACCCTTGAACTATCGAATGCACAAAAGTAAATAATAAGGAAAAACAACATCAATCTTATGAAGATTTAATAAATATACCAATGCCATAATCAAAATATGGATAAGCTGTTTAAATTCTAAGAGAGTAAAACAGACATACACTTTTTAAACAACTGGTGAGAAGATTCATGTATAGGTAACGCTTCATCTGTCTTATTTAGGGTACTCTCCGCTGATATATCAAAAGTGTTATTAGACTTGTTATTTACATTATACTTACCACCTGTTTCGTAAGAAATGCAAGGTTGAGATATGGTCGAATAGGTTGCTGAAAGTTCTGGAAATTTTATGTTCAGTTGTGATTCCCGAAGCCACTCGTCCTTTCTGCAAAAAAACAAAAAGATAAAGACTAATGAGGTTACGTAATTATACTTTTGCTCGAATATTTCTCATTTCATTAAAGCTCAATTTTAGACAACCAACTAAACACATTTAAATACATTTTAGAAAATGCTAAGCTTAATACATGTCAACCAATTTTTTGACATTCAACCGTGACAATCGACAAAGAATATGACATTAAGTTAGGTGAAAAGTATATTGCTAAAATTTACTTTCTACTATTATTTTTGAAGGGCCGATAGGGTTGCTGATCGCCTCTTGTGATGATCAACTTTACCATATCATATAAGTATTATGCTTATTTAGTCAGTCAAATAAAGAAGAAAGTTGAAGTCGTATGAATATACTTCTCATATGTTGTTCTACAATTGTCCAGTATCCACCTTCATCAATCGAAACATCTTTGGCAGTAGCCAGGGGTAAGGTTCTTCGGCAAAAATTATATGAACAGTGACACAAGAAACGGAAAGCACTTGACCCCGGACACGTTCCATGTATTCGTCAAAAAGGGAGGTTGGGTGTTATTCTAGCGCTGTATCATTCGCGGACTTTTCAGTCATTGCTGAGATGCTTAGTAGAAATGATGGTTTTTTAATATGAAACTTGAAGAAATACTACATAATATAAGTTTAGTGAAAGTTCTCATTTAAAAATTTAGTAAAGACACGGAAAGAGTGAAGGAATTTCTTTCTAACTAGTTGTTCATCATGGCTCTACACTATATATATGATACTCATCGACTGGTGATGTAACATTAATAATGATTTTACAGTGTTTATAAAATTATATCAGATGATTAGTTGAATAATTGGAAGAAGGCGGATAATAATAATCCAAATATTATGAGCACAGATTGTCGATGGCTAGTAGTGGAATTCAGGATGTGCGTTCCGTCCCATTCGGAACTCGTCAGCTGCATTAACCTGCATCCTAGAGTTGGTGTCCACGCAGGTACTCGAACTTAGAACATTTCGCTTCAAATACCATCGCGTTTCCATTAAACGAAAAATCGAAGATATGAAATTCTTACAAAGTAGATTTTGAGTAATAAAAACGGAAAATATCTTAGAAACAAAAGCTGCATTTCAGCTAAAAACATACAGTTCCAATTGTAATTTATCAATAGTACTACGCATTTCTTTCATTAACTGACAGAGTTCCTTCTCAGAATGTGTTGAAAAATTAGAATCGATAGATGTTTGAGAGTAAAACTGACCAACAGCTTGTTTAAATACAGTAAGACAATCTGATGAACTATTTTGATTGAATGAACTATATTGTGAAGAAGATAATTCTTGAAATTTATCATTTGTAAAACAAGGATTGTAAGATTTGAAAGCCATTTGTAAAAGCATCATTGAATGGCGCAGAAATCTACAGAGAACAAAGAAAATACACAATAACGAACGAAATGCACATTCGTAATTAACTAAATATAATATTGATTCTCTTAGTATTTATAAGCTTAAATACAATACAAACTGTTTGTGCGGAGAGTGGTGAAATCAACTGGCTGCCCACATCTAGATGATGTAGAATTCCAATCTATTCCCTAACAACTTGAAATTCGAACGCTTTAACCACCAAGATACCATTTCATTTTTAAATAAAAATGCTAAACTTTAGATAGAAGATCGCCCCTCACCATTAATGTTTATCACCCTAAATTCAACAAACTGTGAATAAAACAATTTCTTTTTAATATGCTATTCTATAATTAAAGTTATGGGTGATATTCACTTATTTAAAATAAAATAATCATTGACAAAGAACAAAGTACACAGTTATTTCTGTACATAGAATATTTTGAAGGTTTTACAATCTAACGATGTTAAGTTCAAAATGTTGAAATAAGACTTGTTATAACAACATTCATGGTAGTCATCATATGAAAGATGATCCAAATATAGAAAGGCAGAAGGTAAATGTATCTAAATATGAATACTATTAACAATAATATACGGATGTATCCCTGCAAAATCAATCCACAAGACAATACAAAGTTGAAAACAATATATATTCACATGTAATACTTTACAATCACTAAGAAAAGAGAGATCATACAGTAAACAACGCAAAAAAAATCACAAACTTACGAATGAAAATTTAATTTGCCATCTATTTGTTTTGGTTCTTCCTAAGATAAAAGTGATAATAAAAAAAGCTCATACACTTATTAAGTAGAATATAATGCGTGAGGGAATAACATAGTAGCTAAGCAACTAAGGTGATAAGTTTCTGATCATTACATCAGTCCATTAATTCAATGACTGTTTGACTGAGTTACATTTGCAAGTGCATAATATATATTTGAGGACCGTGCGGTCGCTTGTTGGAGAGGTTGAGCTTTGAAATCATTACGTACTTTTATTTCTTAGATCCGAAATCATATCATACAATTTACATTTATTGGTTGTTTGAATCTTCACACTGACGTTTATGACTGCAATTCATCAGTCTCTTTTGGTATATGTTCCCATTGGCTGTGATTAATCAGTCTTACATAACTCAATAGAGACTAATCAATCGGAGTCATCAACGTTAATGGGAAGATCCAAACAACAAATACAAGATGAATTACACTTCACATTATTGCGCAAGCTAGTGGCTGCCTGGACTCAGTAGCTAGGTGGGCAACGTGATGGCGTTTGAGGAGAAAGATATTGAGTTCGAAGACCGGAGTGAACATCAAATCTGGGATGCAAGGACATGCAGTCGATGAGTCCAAGATAGGACGAAAAGCAAGTCCTGGATTCCACTGCTAGCCACCACCCATAGTACTATCCAGTGTTTAATTCCTTTCACTACCGCAGATACTAATAGTGCTTCGAATCTTTTGCTAGAAACCTTGTCAATTTCATCTTGTCGTGCTATTGTGTGGGAACTTGAACTGATATACATTTTTGGAAGCCGTTTTTGGGTAGATGAACAATCTCACCGTACGTTGCAGTAAAAACTACTCTGAATAAACAGATCTTACTGAGTCATATGCAAAAAAGGAATCAAATTTACCAGTTATAAAAACTCACAGCTCACTTGAAACTGTAGCCTATAAAATGAAATATTTCCTTATGACTGTGTAATGACAGTATTTATTTATTTAAAAAAATAAGCAGTGGTACAAGGAGGTACCAAACAAATATGCGCCACATAAATGATTCGATTTGTGGTTGGAATACTGACCGGGTGCCTAAACCGAAGCACGGTAGTGACATTGAGAATTAGTTGTTATTATCATAGCACAAATTCTTTAGGAAAAAATATTTTTTAACGCAACATTTTCTTACCTGAGTCTTAAAAACATGGGACTAAAATAATTTATGAAAACGACAATAAGCGGCAATCAAATGACGAATGATAACATCGATATTTAAACGTTTTAAATCATTGAAAGACTACTTATAAAGAGATATAAAATTGATAAGGATTAGGAAAAAGTTAATTCTATGCATGAAGGTTACATAAATAAAATTAATTTTAAGTTTAAATTAATGAAAGTTAGTCATATGGATTGTAAGTGTAAACTGTCACTACAGCTTCAAATTATGTGGTTATTGAATTGACCATATGAAGAGAATAATTAGAATAGAATTCGGTTCAAGAATTTTAATATTTTTCAATAAATTGCATCGTTTAGTCATATATTTAGAAGTTAAAGGTAATCCTGGTTAAAACATTCGCTCTTGCGGTCAATTTAATTTGAAAGGAAGTCTACGCGTTAACTAATATAATTCTTTGTCCAGATACAAATTTGTGTACTGGGCTTTAAGTCACATTAAGTGTGAGGACTACTGATACTAATCAGCTGCCTACATTGAAGTAGGTGAAGTGGGATGTGAACCTGTGACCCAGTGACTGAAATCTGAACACTAACTACTGATTTACCACTCAGATATACTTATAGCAAACGCTAAACAAACCGTCATATATAACGAATAGAATGCTTTAAACGGTACAGTGTTTTTTCATCAGTAATAATCCGCCAGAAACTAAAATCTTAAATAACCAAACTCAACTAACAGGTATCCTAAGGTGTTGGCGCTTAAAGCCTTAAAAATGTGATCCACATCACACTACAGCTCACGATATATGGAGTCGCATTTTAACGTTAAGCACATTGACCTCGTGGACAATTGGATGTTGAAGGGTCAGTTAACTAAACATTTAAGTACATCAAAAAAATAAGTAGGAAAAGATAACAAAACTTTCATAACTAGATTCAGAACAATGACTAATTAAAGTGTGTACCTTGGTATCGTCATTTAAATATGATGACAATATGTTTCCTGACTGTAGAAATCTCATCTTGGAACCATTTAGAGTAAACGGTTTATGATCATTTAAACTATCCAGTATATTGTTAAACTGCAGTAAAGACGGCTTGTGTCTGTCTAAGTAGGTTTTAATTTGTTGTTTCAAAGTGGATACCTAGAAATAGTTCAAAGAACGGATCAAAAATAAATTAGTTGGTCGGAGAAAAAAAGACTTGAACATAAAATATTGCTGCATTGAATAACAGTACAGCAATGAATTAATGTTGAATAACCAATCATAAGGAATAAAACTGTGAACTACTAAGTAATCACTCGACGTAAATAGATGTTTGATAGATCTATTACAAAGCAATTTCCTAGAAATATAGATTTTATAAAGCATTATTGAGCTGTATATTTTAGATGAAAAGTCGTAGAATCATTTATCAGCAGAATTCCCGAAATTCGGACTCAACATTTATTGGAATCAGATTACGTAACAGATTGTTGACATCCAGTGACAACACCATGTTAGTAATGCAGAGGTTCGGCATCGTGTGTTTGGGCACAGAGACGATAATGCAATTGGTGTCACCATCTTGAAACACCGACTTCGGTGGCTTCGACATGTTCTACGAATGTCGTCCCACAGAATTCCACGTCGTGCATTATTTACCGACGCTGGGACTGGTTGGAAAAAGCGGAGAGGTGGTCAGCGTATGACATGGTGTCGTGGCATGAAAGAAAGCTACAAAAGGCTGGTTTCTGTTGGTCCTTCACAAATCCCTGGCCGGGGTCCGAGAGATGGTGCAACAGTGGCTAGAGACGTTATCAGATATAGTTTAGAATAGAAGTCAGTGGCGATCCTGCTGTAACCTTCTTTTACTTCATAAAAATGGTTGTATCTCCCTTAACTAAAGGATTTCTTCTGATTGTACCTTTCCGTTCCCCCATTATTACCATTATTATTATTACACTAACTTACACCAATCTCTTCCTTATTGTTCTCTTTTTATCCTCCTTACCTTTTTTTTTCTTTTTCCTTCTCTTTAAATTCTCATTGTTTTGTGTGGCGCATATATATTTGGCTCACTCTTGTACCAATATGTATGTGTTCAAATAAATAATAAATAACGTAACGAAACATAAAGACTTAGATAATTTGGCTCACAAGTCTCCCTTAAATTTATTTTAAGCTGGAAAATATCGCTACCCAGGAACACGTATCACAAACTTGATTCGCAAGACAAACTGGATAAACCATCAATCATAGTTATGTTAAAATTGTTTCGCAGCACAAATAACGAAAATCAAGTCAGTGTTAACTACGTTAAGATATGTTGTGCGATCAACCCTCTAAAATATTTACGAATGTCTTATGAAGATATCATTTAAGCTAGTAGCTCTATTTTACCTTCTTACTTTTAATAGCAGGTGCAAAAATAAGTGTATGGTATTAAAACTAACAACAACAAATATACTACTATAAGTAGTATGTATTTTAAGAGTAATTTTTTGTTACTCATGTAGACTGTACCAAGCATTTACGGAAGATTAGTAGGCAACCATACGATGCTCAGTAATGAACACTAATGTTGCTTAGTCGATATAAATTAGGAATTTTTTGGTTATACATACATAATTGAGAGCATTGCCACTAAAATTTATATATATATAAATTGGATACCGACTGGAAACCTTACATATTTTAGCATGTTAGATCTTTGCAGATTATTGGATTCGAGAGTTTATATCACCGACTGGTCTTAATTACAAATGCAAGTCATTGGATTCTGGCTTAGGAGTCTTAAGGTTAACTATCCACTGACAGACTTGAAGATCCTGGACTCAATCAACGAAGGAGCCGTGAACAGTTGCAGTTTAGGAGTTTTGTATCAGGATGAAATAGATATCCAGTGCTACTTGTTTTCCAATGATTCTCTAACCAGTCTTTCCGTGGAATTAACTATAAAATATACACATCTGATTTACTAATTACCCATGAATAAGACAAAACCGACATGTTTGGCTGCAACTATAACGTGTAGGTCACACCATTTTATGACACCAGGTGCGGTTCTAGAGTTGTGCTCACTCTGACACCATTGAATTTAAACAAAATATTCCCGAAGTTATTCTTAATCAAAAAAGATATGTGATTTGATCATTTTTACCATACACATAAAATCCTAGATGACACAAACAGTTTAATTCTTGTACATAAGTCACAGAAGCAATAACACTGGGATAACAACGACTCAATATGTTTTCAACACACTGACGACGAATCATACCCTAGATGTGAGACACATATATTGTATGTTGAAAAGATACACACACTTATCGACTTTATGTACGAACAATTCAAACATTTCCCGTCTAGTCATGAAATGAGTTATTTCCCGAGAAAAAAGTAAATATCATTACGTCCGAGGCAAACTTCTAAGAGCACTTAAACAGATTAACAGTATATTGAGAACCCAAAAAGGACCTACTCGGTATGAAGAACAAGTTATTTAGTGGCTGTCAGGTTAGGATAAGTAACCAAAAAATAAAGTTAATTACTGTTGGTTTGTGTACTGTGGCCCGACCGAAGCTGCTACCTTGACGTGGTGGTCGGGCTTGCTTATCGTGATGACCCAACCGAGCTATATTGGCTGGAACAACCGTTCCTCAAGGTCCTACCATGTCAGACAGGTCGGTTGAAGAGCGGTAAGACTAAAAGCAGCAACTCAAGGTCTGAGGGCGGAGTCGTACTGCTGACTGTACAGAGGTGTGACAGCAGTAAGGTGTTTCCTTCAGAAAACCAGCATGACAGCGATGCTGCCTTCCCACAAGGAGGGGTGGGGTTAGAAAAGGTCGACCCTAAAAATGTCACACCTCACCTTACCTCACGGATTTCCGTCTCCGGCGGTAAGGCCCTTTGAAGAACGGAGCTAACACATCAAAAACCCACAAAAAAGCCCTGCGCGACCGGCCTCAAGCAGTTGTCCCTTGAGCTCTGCGGTCACGCTCCCAGGTCGTCAAGACCAACACCAATCCAATTTCCTTTTCAGGTTCCTCAAGAAATACCCTTCCACGGTGTGGGCAGCCGGGAAGTGACATCAGCCCTCATACCCGTAACAACACTCGAGACCAAGTTGGTCACATTCAAATCCTTCCTACACCTCCTAATACCTCTCTTATCTCCCCGACTAACCCTCCTCACATCTCTTTATCACCTCGCACCGCTAGGGCGAACGATTCGAGTACGTGGAACGCTATTCCTGGTCTCCTGAAACCACGCTCTAAACTACATGTAGGAGCTTTTAACGTACGAACACTGTGCCAAATAGGACAGCAGGCTTCCTTAGCTAGGACTTTAGAATCTCGCGCCATCGATGTGTGCTGCGTCTCCGAAACGCGCATACAAGATCCGAGTAGCGTCATTCATTTAACCTCACTATGCCGAAATAAAGAGCCGACTCGATTTACGCTTCGTGTATCCGGAAGCTTAGACGCTGCTTCTCGTGGCCTCGCCGGCGTAGGTATAGCATTGAGTCCTAGGGCAGAACTAGCTCTCTTAGAGTGGATCCCAGTAGACAGTCGTTTGTGCGATGTCCGACTGTACGGAACAGTAAGAATCCGGAAAGATAGGGACACTCGTCGTTGCCTCTTCGTCGTCTCTGCCTATTCTCCCACTGACTGCAGCTCAGATGATGTAAAAGATGAGTTTTACAGAAAGCTTTCGGACCTTCTCCGAAAAGCTAGGCGCTCTGATGTAGTGATAGTGGCCGGTGACTTTAATGCTCAAGTAGGTAAACTAAGCGATAGGGAAAGACACCTAGGTGGATCTTATGGTATCGTGGCTCAAAGAACAGATAATGACGACCGTCTGTTGCAGCTATGCTCAGATAACCGCCTGTTCCTTGCAAATACTAACTTTAAGCATAAGGAAAAACATCTTTTAACATGGCGACCCCCTAATTCGTCCCAACGTTGGACCCAAATAGATCACATCGCTATCAGCCACCGATGGAGGGGCTCGATAGAAGACTGTCGCTCATTCTGCAGCACATGCTTAGATTCAGATCATGCTCTAGTACGAGCGCGTATTTGTCTGCGTCTTACTGGACGTAGGAAAGACGCTGCCAGGAAACCTCTTAGGGGCCTACTTAATGATAGTCAAGCTAAGAGTATATTTCAGGAACAACTAGGTAAACAGTTAGGCAGCCATGTATGTGATGCCCACCCCGATGCAGCATGGAATAATATCCGAAAAGCTGTGGAAACAGCAGTGATATCTACTAGTAAGGTAAACCACAAGGTTAGGGAGTAACACTGGATCTCAGCAGCATCTATCGCACTGATAAATGCTCGGAAACTCATTCCACCTGGCTCTGAACATGACGAAGAGCGGAGTCAGCTTAAGCGCAAGCTGACAAGAAGTCTGCGCAATGATCGCGAACAGTGGTGGGTAGCGAAAGCAAGAGAGATGGAAAAGGCAGCGGCAATAGGTAATAGCAGACAATTGTTCAGACTCGTTAAGGAAACCGGAATTAGGAACCCGACCATTAGCGAAACAATCTCAGAGAAAGATGGACATATTATACATTCTCAATCCAGGAGACTGGACCGATGGGCGGAACACTTTGGGGATCAGTTCGACTGGCCTTCAGCCACACTTCGGTTTCCCACGATCTCTAGTCAACCTGAATGGCAAGTTAACGTAGGTCCTCCGTCCCTTTACGAAGTTGAAAAAGCCATAGGAAATCTGAAACGAGGGAGAGCAGCAGGCCCTGACAGGTTTACTCCTGAGATTTTTAAGGATGGTGGTTCAGTATTAGCAATGAGATTAACCGAGGTCTTAGGTAGAATTTGGGAACTGGACGTAATCCCATCTGACTGGTCTCAATCACTGATTGTGCCAGTCTATAAGAAAGGACAAAAGTCCTCTTGTGACAATCACAGAGGAATCAGTTTGACTAATATAGTGTCTAAAATATTAGCCTCAATAATACTTCTACGCCTAATCAAAGCTCGTGAAGAGCAGACTAGAGAAAACCAGGCCGGTTTCCGACCTGAACGTGGTTGTATAGATCAGATATTCACACTACGTCAGGTTCTAGAACACACACACATTCAGGCGCCCCACAATCGTAGTATTTCTCGACCTTAAGGCGGCATTCGACCCTGTTGATCGTGAGGTTCTATGGCAGTGTTTGTCACTGAAAGGAGTACCAAAGAAGTACATTAACCTTATAAAGGCTCTCTACTCGAACACAACTAGTAGAGTGAGAGCTTATGGCGAACTGTCATCAGAATTGATTACCTCAAATGGTGTTCGTCAGGGCTGTCCACTCTCCCCATTCTTGTTCAACTTTGTCATTGACGTACTTTTAGAGATAACACTCTCCTCATCTAAATTTCCAAGGGTTGAACTTCTACCGGGAGGTTCACTTGTTGACTTAGAATATGCTGATGACATGGTTTTATTTGGTGAAGATACTGACAAAATGCAGAGTCTTCTGAACACTCTAAGCAACAATGCAAGCATGTTCGGCATGCGATTCTCCCCCTCGAAATGCAAAATGTTGCTTCAGGATTGGGTTACATCGACACCCGGACTAGTGCTAGCGAGTGAAGTAGTTGAGTGTGTCAACCGCTTCACTTATCTTGGAAGTCTCATCAGCCCTTGTGGTCTGGTGTGTGACGAAATTTCAGCACGGATATAGAAGGCTCGACTAGCTTTTGCCAACTTGCGTCATTTATGGCGTAGGCGAGATGCCGTCTATCAACCAAAGGACGTGTTTACTGCGCAGCAGTTCGTCCCGTCTTACTTTATGGCAGTGAAACATGGCCGGTAAGAGTAGAGGATATCCGTAGGTTACTAGTATTCGATCATAGGTGTCTTCGAAACATTGCTCGTATATCATGGGACCATCGAGTAAGTAACGCAGTTGTTAGGAAACGAGTACTAGGTAAGGATGGCAAATCAATTGATGAAGTAGTGAAACTTCATCAGTTGAGATGGCTGGGACACGTGTTACGTATGCCCAACGACCGACTGCCTCGACGTGCGATGTTCAATGGTATAGGAGTAGGTTGGAAGAAAGCTAGGGGCGGCCAGACCAAAACATGGCACAAGTCCATGAAGTCACTGACAAGTGGACTGAGTCATGTTGGTAGGTGTAGACTACCTGGTTGGGGACCGCGAGATGATAGCAACCGATGGTTAGAGACCCTGAGTGACATGGCTCAAAATCGTTTGCAATGGCGCAGGTGCATCCACTCTCTGTGTTCTCCCAAATTCTAGTCTTCTGAATTCTTCATGTCCCTTTTTTCCTCTTTCCAAATTTATTTCACTGGATTATACTCTTTAAATAACATCTCCAAACCCTAATCTTCCCGATTACTGCTTATACTCTTGCTACCTCTACCACTACGGGATTTGAATCGACAACTGCATCTCTGTGCTAAGGTGGTGTGGCAACTCGAACTGATGTACGTACGTACGAAGTTCTACGTTGTTACTGACTGACTGACTGTGTACTGTGGACAGATAAAAAACTTCGTAATTGGGTTTCAAGACATTTTAATAAGGATTATTTAAAGGACACGGTAGAGCATATGCGTTTGATTCTTAGTTTAACTTAAATTTTAGATATCCTGTTATTAAAAAGGTATTTTTTCCAACCTACCCTTATATTTCCTCGATTTGTTTTATTTATATCTAAACATAACCGTTTTGAGCAGCTGAAAGAATAACAACTTGGACTGATAAAATTCTGTGATTATTATTAGATTACGTTTTTTCGGCTTTATCTAACGTATGGTAAAATTAAATTGCTGCCTGATTATACTTTTAATAAAATCTACGGTTACAAGACATTTTAACCACAACATATCTTCTTCAGATCGATTATGAATGATGTAAGGCATTTTCTGAACATGATCAAAGTAAGAACAAAATATTTCCCAGGAAAAAAAACACTACATGAACAAGATGGAAAAAAGATTACTTTTTTTGTTAACTCCAATTGATAAGCAATTAGTTCATCCGGGAGTCCAATGGTTTTATCAGAACAAAGAGAAAACAATTGGGTATCGTTCCTATGATCAAAGAGTAAGACTTGATTTACGTAAAGAAAGCGATAAAAATAACTAACTTACGACGTCACAAGATTATGCTAATAATCAACTTTATTTCAATAGAATTCGTAGATTATTGGTAATCAACAACTATCAAAACGCTTGATATGTTCAACACAAAAAAGCCGCATAAAACAATACAACCTTATAAAGAGAAAGGCATAGAAGACAACATGGATAAAAAGCACTTGAGTAACGTTTAAGTGTTCAAATTTGATTTTAAAAATTGTAGAACATCAGAAACCGGAGTCGATTCCCATTAATAACGATCGCTTAAGCTATTGATTCATATGATTTACGTAACTCACGATACCGAACAGTGATGACCTACGAGCCCATGTCATAAACTGACGATACCTTCACTTCTCACATCCACTTTCAATATCGAGGAACAGTATTTATTGTGGAAATAAATGAAAATTTAAACATAAAACCGAAAATTTACTCAAGCCCGTATTTTAAGATGGCCGTCGATCAAACAGTTGTCATCACCGTGACCAGATATACTCAAAAATCTGGACTTCAGTCAACCACTATACAAAAGACAAAAATAAGCGAGCGAAGTTCTTAAATACACCAGCCGACAAAGACCATGTTTTACGGATAAAGTGTCGGACTTCTTACCTCGAGAGAAAAAGTATGAACCTATACTGCTACAACCATATTACCATCTCAGCGGATTCTGTACAAGCTAGCATGTCATTTTAGCTTTTGTAACACGAAAACTGGCTCCATTAATCACATCACTAATAAGACAAATAGCTAGATATAGAGGAATATTTACTACCTACAACAATTTATCCCTGACGGTGAGTGGATGTTATGGGAGAGGTTTAGTACGTTTTGACCACACGATATTTTGCCCGACCGTTGTTGCTACCTTGACGTGGTGGTCGGGTTTGCCTATCGTGATGAAGCAACCGAGCTATACTGGCTGGAACAACCGTTCCTCAAGGTCCTACCATGTCAGACAGGTCGGTTGAAGAGCGGTAAGACTAAAAGCAACAAACCCAAGGTCAGAAGGCGAAGTCGTACTGCTGACTGTACAGAGGTGTGACAGCAGTAAGGTGTTTCCTTCAGAAAACCAGCATGACAGCGATGCTGCCTTCCCACAAGGAGGGGTGGGGTTAGAAAAGGTCGACCCTAAAAATGCACACCTCACCTTACCTCACGGATTTCCGTCTCCGGCGGTAAGGCCCTTTGAAGAACGGAGCTAACACGTCAAAAACCTCCCACGAAAAGGCCGTGCGCGACCGGCCTCAAGCAGTTGTCCCTTGGGCACTGCGGTCACGCTCTCAGGTCACTGAGACCGTCTATAATCCAATTTCCTTTTCAGGTACCTCCAGAAGAACCCTTCCACGGTGTGGGCAACCGGGAAGTGATAACCGCCCTCATACCTCTAACAGCACCCAAGACACGATATTTAAACCATAACAATCGACTAATAGAATGCTGATCGACAGATGAACGCTATGATATAATTTAACTAGCTGACAGTTACTCACAAGATCGCATAATTGATTTAGGCCTCTGAATGATTACAAACCAAAGACAAGACCAATGGCCCGATGAATTTTTATGTAAGGAAATAACATGCTTATATACAAAATATGAACACAATAAACATGATAAAATGTCATAGGTGATTGGAATAAATTAGCTTGTGGGTCAGTCATTCAACCGAACAAGGTCGGACTGTTAGGCCTGATCTTTGGATGCTGTATCAGTGGCGAACCCAAGATACTTTCAATGTTGCAGAATAACAGTGTGGTCAAGTTTTGCAAAACAAAAACCATGGGTGAAAAATAACCACCAGATAAACAGGTGTGATACCAACGGAACGTTTTACCTAACAGGATCAAGATTATTCTAGTATATATATCAAGGATTGCAGTTGTAATCTAGGCACATCTAGCACATTTCAAAACAGCTGTGTTCCAACGATGGAGTATAACTTAGCACAAAGTGTAACTTATTTACCGAGCACAAATTTATGCACTCATTTTTGAGCCATATTATATAAGGGATAGAAAGACTATCTGGTTACCTGAAGTGCAGTTTGAATCAGTCACCTGCTTGTTGAAAAGTAACTTGCTTAGTCTCTAAGCCACCACTGCATTCAGTTATAATGCAAAATACTCACCCGGGAAACGAACCCCATATTTTGTGGTGAAATGCTACATGTCGAAACTAATGAACGGTATTGCTTATTGCTTAACTACAGATTAGCTGTACAACGTACTTATTCAAATAGGATAACCGAGAATATATGTGGCTTACTGGAAACATTTTCTATGCGCTAAAACTGGGTAGTACTAAAGTATAGTTGTGAACACCTGTTGAGAGTGGCGCAAAAGTTATAGAATCCAATGTTCCAAACTTTGCAGATGCGGAAAATGGTGTAATAACTGGAACAAAACATTTGGGAATACGCAGCGCGATAAGAAAAGTGCTGACACGTAAATAACTATTCAATGAAGTTAACTTACATATTATTTCGTAAATCGGAATCTGAAACAATGAGCTGCTTGAATTTCAAAATTTCTTCTGATGCATGCTGAACTTCAACATCCAGAGCTTCAGATCCTTTTTGAAGTTCCCTTTAGTCAAAGAATTCGTAGAGCATACCACGATTTATAATAATTTTAATGTAAAGTACTCCTACTATCGAAATTACCAAAGGATAAAGCAATAGTAACATTGAGTGCGTGATAATGGTGTTAAGAGAAAGCAAGTGAGAAAGACAAGTTGAATTTCGTGAGACAAGCTATAAATGTATTAATCTCACACGTTTTACACAAGTGAGTGTGGTAAGTCAGTAAAAGCTAGTTTACAGGACAAGGATCGTACAGATATATACGTGTAGGTGATTCCATCATTCGAAAATTGAAACTTTGTACTTTTCACCTCAATTTTACAAGTCATTCTTCTGATTTTGCTGGAGTGAAGTGTAGCAACTCAGTCATATTGCTCTTTGAACGTTTTATAAAAGTAACTAAAAGTCGAGCTGTAGAAGGAAATAGAATTTGTGTAGAAAAAATCTAAATTAAACCGCAGCATACTGAAGCCTAATATGTTATATAAAACTAGACAAAGAAAGGTGTTATCGGATGAATGTGGTTTTACACTCGATACAGGAGAAAACGTTGTATTTGAACGCTGTAGAATATTAGGTCTTCTAAAAATAAAGATTATTAATATATATGTATGCAGTCCGTCATTCAGTGCTGCTTGTGTTGTTCGTTAACCGGAAGCTGAACGCTAAAAACTGCATGTTATAAGTGCTACTTCCTCTCCTTATTAGCTGACGGTTATAAACATAGCTACGATTGTCAATTTTAACTTATCAGTTAATAAAATTAGTTATTAGGTAAATGCTCATGTATTTCGTCTGAACCACAATTTGTAGGGAGTATACACCATCTAAACGCCTGGAAGTGAAGACGGTCAAATTTTATACAATGGGTGGGAGTAATATGTTTAAATTAATCACTTAAGCACTACGATAGTAGTGAGTAGTTAATCCAAATATTGCAAACTAACCTTTGGAGCAGATCTTCCGAAATAATGTGGGAAAGTGAATGTTTTAGATTGCGCTGAACAATTCCTATAGAGTTGAATGACACCCATTCACAGTTAGGGTCATTTTCCATGATTTGTTTGTTGAAGGATAACATGTCGTTTGAAATTACTAAGACATAAGAAGATAGATTAGCCAGAAGACGCACAACGCCAATACCAGCAGGGAAACCCCAAGTGGCGAAAAAGTTGGAGATCACTTTAGGAAACTACCTACGTTAAATGGAAATAAACGCACCTCAGCTGACAAAATGCGTAACCAACGGTAAGTCGCATTCTTGAACCCAACATCAGATTTAGGCCCTAGAAACGCCCTTTATGGATTATATAACTACTTGGTTAATACCTTAACTCCGTGTCATATTTCACAGGGTCTAGAGTCCGAAATAAGAAGTGGAGTATATGTATAAACTCTGCTTTGCGCGATATTTTGAAAAAAGACCTTCAGTAGTTTATTTGGCGAGCTTTTAACTTACAAAAATGAATCTGCCTGTTTAGGAACGTTGTATGTGTCAAAATCATAATTCAATATCTTCAAATTCCTCAAAACCACAGATGAGTACCTAACTAGCAAATATTTCGAATCTTGCGGCATATTATATTGGGATCCTAGGTCGCGCAACTGTAAACACAACTCAATGTTTTCATGGTCAGCTCCTAAAAGCAAGACGACTTTTTTAACTTCAGAATATGTTTTAAGGAATGACTTCATACTTTTGATTACGTCTAATGAGAACAGTCTCCCATATTTCATCAATTCAGAACGCTAATGGTAAACAGTGGTGAACCGTTTTGGATTCTCTTGTGACATGTGATTCAAGCACCAGTACTTCCCAATTCTCCGATATCCGATCCGTCCTAATATCAATTTACTTTTCACTCTTCAGATCGTTCCAGTATAACACTTCCTAATAATACCTACGCCGTAGTAAAGTTCCTTCTATAGCCACACACCCGAACTATTTAGAATAGTATTCAGTGTCTAATGAAAAATTTATTTGAGAAGAAGACTCGCTGACCCAGTGAGAACACCAGATTTCCGGAAATAGCTGAAAGGGTGGTAAACTAAAGGTACTTGAACTGTAATACATTAGTTAGTTCTTTTGCCAGTTTTAAATCGGGACTCGTACAGTACAGAAATATTGCGTAGCATGTAGTCATGATGTATGAAATCGCCCACAGCGTTTTTGTCACACCAGGACATTTTTTTGGTCTAGGGCTAACGTAAAGTCAACAAGGCATTTCTTTGGAGCATAATTCTAAAGAGAATGTACAAAATATGTGCGAACGTTCCAGTCGTTAATACCTGAAAGTTGTGAGATTCCTGCTAGGAGAGATAATAACGACATCTTTTGATGAATCGTTGTACCCTTAGTAATAGCGCTAGATTAGGCTTTTGGAAAAGCGTACCTGCTGACAGACATATTAGGCTTTAAGATTCTGAAAGAAATAAGAGTAGAATAATACCGAAAGCGCCCTCCAACTACCAATATGAAAATTACGACCAATAACTTGACCGCTATTTTGAAGAATATATTTATCTCCGGGCTATGAATGTGCTAGGAACATTCGCTGACACAAAACCGCTCAATGATGCCCTTTTAACAAAATCGCATGAAAAATTAAATATTAAACTGCATGTAAGTTACCACTATCTAAATTGCAAATGTTAGCCACCATTCCTCCGGCATTTTTAGCAAACTAACATTGACTACTAATTGTGATCCGTTTGAATTCTGTCTTGGTTCATTAGTAGTTTGACAGAGTTGTTTACTACCTAAGTGAATTTTAAGTCAACTTAATGTGGCAAGTAAAATTCACTATTTATTAACTCACAGTCAGATTTCTTAAGCAAACATAAGTTCCAACTTTAATATTTGATTCACCACCCTAAGGATGTTGATAAACGTGAATGACTGGTAGTTTTTTAGTAACTGCAGGTTGAAGCAATTCTGAGTTAAACTATTTTTTAACATTATACTTTGGTAGTACTTAAGCATAAATAGTTCCAACCATTAAAAGTATCATTATTTTTGACGGAACATAATGTTGTCGTGCCTATCTCTTATCTGAGAAAAAAGTTTATGTGAGAAATGGTTAACGTTGATAATCGTTTTTTCCATTTTTATGAACATATACAGGATCTGCATATAACATCACAGTTTTACATCAATAGGGGCATATTCATCATAAGTAAAACGATGCATGTATGTTTCAAATATGGTGACTGAACTATGTTGTCAGTGGATACGAATTTATAATGTGTCTGTTATAGAGATTGCGAATAAATTTCTGTAAATAGAATCTGCAATCACTGACCAAATTATTAAAAAAAATCTAATGCATTTGGATGAGTAATATCAAAATAGTGCTTTCAAATGATGTCATTATTCCATGTAAACTGTAGATTCTAATTGCATTATAAACACTGTAATTGGACTTTTCTAAAATCTCATAGTACTGCTTCAAGTATCTGTAATTCCTTTGCCAACAATAAATGACTAGGTGATATTCTACAATGATCATTAAATGAAGAGCATTGTTTAAAACAGGCAAAGCACTTAAAGGTACGTTCTGTTTGCTGCCATTACATTTACTTGTTGAATTTGATACTCTTAATGAAGTTTGACCGTTTGTTTCTCGATTGATTTTTTTCTTCAGAATTGTATCTATTAAGCTGGAAAGCTATCTATTTGTTTTCTGATTTAAAGCTTATGTCTGTGATGAACCAAACAATATATGAACTCAGAAATGTGGTGTTTCATATGATGTATGCTGCATTCTTTTCGGTAGTCCGCTTTAGTGACGCATTCGTATTTTGTCAGGATATCGGTAAAAAGGTTGTTCACAGGTTCCATTATTCGTACACCATGTATTTCGTAGTCAGTGTGTAGTGTACCGTTCACCGGCAAACATGTATATTTGTCAATCAGCTTCTTTTTGTTCATGTCTACTAATAGGCTGTAGGCGCTAAGAAAGTTGGCCTCGAGAATGGGTTGTTTGACGTGGGCGACTGTAAAAACCCATGTGAATCTTCTCCAGAGTCCGAGGTCTAAAATGAGGGATTACTCTTCATAGGTTTTGATGACCGTATCGTTAGCCGCAATGAGTAGCGACTTGGTATTTGTTGTTTGTTGTCGACGAGAGAGGTGCAGTGGGACTATGCTGATTTCTGCTCCTGTATGGACTAAGAAGTCTGGGCCAGAAATACAATCCCTGATGTGGAAGAGGCGGGTGGCATGTTGGCCAGTAACAGACGTCGCCATTACTGTCTGACCAGCCCGTTTCCCTGGTTCTCATGATTGTTTGTTGTGAAGTTGCACGGTTGTGTGCAGCGCCGCCCTTTTCCACCATACTTCAAATGGTACCAACAAATTCCAGCTCCCCGTCTAGTTGATTTAAGGCGCTGTCTGGAAACTGATCTTTTCCTAGTCGTGGATCTAGCCGGTCGAGAATGGATAGTCGTGATAGTAGCCTGTAATTAAGTCAACTGCGTTAACTGTTGCTGGATGTTAAATGTGGTGTTCGTATCTCCCTTACCAGATTTCTGTATCGCATTAACACAATGATATCATGGTGGATCTCCATCATCTTGTCCGCCATCTCTGCTAGGTCTTCCAGATTGACGGAATCTCCCGACACACTAAGAATCCGTCTCACGTTATGTGGTAGTCGTTGGAACCGCATTTCTTTAAGTAATGCTTCATCTAATTTATATGGACCCGCTAGATGTTTCATATGTCGTAGCAACTGTGATGGTCTTATGTCCCCTAGTTCGCATGATGTAAGCGGTTGCTGTAGTTTTTTTCATCAGAGAATTATGTACGTTGTATTACGGCGGCCTTAATTTTGTCATAAGGATCAGTCTCTGGTACATGGTCGATCAAATCTCCGGCTTCAGTAGCGGTTTCGATGGAAAGTAAGCCGACAACATAGGCATATTTGGTCGCCCGGGGGTGTATGCCTCTCGCTAAGAATAAGGCTTCTATTAGCGCGAACCAGATCCTGGGGTTATCTGCACCGTATGCCAGTAGTCTGAACTCGAAAATGGTGTTGACTGAGCTTAAAATATTATCGTCTGAATGCGACGAGTTGAGGGGATTCACTGGAGGGCAATCTATGTCGATAAGTTTATTTGGAGAGTACATAATGTGAAAAATAAACTAGTGTGTCAAGTAAAAATATAAGCAATATAACGACCATAATACACTCGAGGCTCACCAGATAATTATGGTGGACCAAACAATATATGAAGTCAAAAATGATAACGGAGTTATTAAGTACAAACAGTAATGTTAATATATCACTTAAAATGTTATAAACACAACAAAATCTAGAGACGTTACTTAATTCAGCAGGTTTGTGAGTGTTCCGGTTAAGTCTTGTACCAAAATCCACAATTATAGATGACTGAAGATTCCTGCAAGATTGATATCCTCCCAGTGGTATAACCAAATGTAGAATATGATATATTTCGATTATAGTCTATAAATGTAAACGGTATTTGAGTTAGAGTTCAATTAACACAATCACGAGCGAAAGGAGAACAAGAGGTATGTTTGTAACAGTGTATTTGTTAGTACGTGACAGCGTGTGTCATGCTATGAAAGTAACACGACGGAAGAAAAGGTGTTCAAGATCATAAACTTAAACAACACGTGCAATCATTTGATGAAAAATGTACATGCAGTGAAAAATTGAAAGAATAAATACAAATAACATCAAAAACTGTTTACAAAATAAGCTTGTCATGCATATCTCCACATGTCTTCCTTCAACTAATTGATAAGCTGAAGCATATTGCTGAATAAGGGAAATTAAGTGAACTAACGATTTACGGGTTAACGATAACTTTGTTTAATATTAACATCTTCCAGTGGGTTTTCTAAATATAAATAAAACAAATTTACGCATATTACGAGCGCAAAATGCATAGTGTCTCAGATCCGTGAAAGCTTGGTGAAAGTTCATGTTCTTTCGCAACCTTGCTAGTATCCATCCAAATATACTGTCATTGTCAATAAAATTATATATACGACTCAACGTTTCAGCGAAGCATCTAAACTGATGCAGTACTTGCAAGTTTTCATGACGAATTGAGATGTTATGATGCAAATACTTAATAATCTCTAGTCATCAGAAAAAGATAAACCTTAAGATTATCGTTGTATCTGCCCATGAAACTATGATGAAGATAAAACAAAAAATTGTGCAAACGTTTATTGATACATCATTTCTACTGATAAAGGACTAACAATATTTGATGCAGAAAATTAAGTTTGTGAATTGTATATACATTTTTGGCCCTTTTATCTCACTCCATTTGGATCGTATGAATGATTGTTATCGAAATATACGTTTCGCCAATCCTTGATTATAATCATCGACTTAAATTACATCAGTGTATAACGCAATTAAATAAGTCAAATACAAGAATGAATTTCAAATACTCATATTTTGTGCACTCAACGAAGCGAAATAACACGCAGTGGAGAAGGTAAGTTAGTCAACTCAATTTAATCAATCGTTAATCGATATTTCCTAGCTGAACAAAAATAAGTTACAGGGATGTGATGAATAAGAAAGGAA